TTAATTAGGCTTTTTTTCATTATATATATAAAGTGAGAACTATCATATAATTATAACATAACATAACATCACACCTTTTATCCCCGAAGAGGATGGCAGAGGTGCACATTATGCTACTGTACAATGTGACACCCACTTTTCACTATTTATGTTATGCGTCCCATGTAATAGGGGGTGAGCCTATTGCCACATACCGGGCATAATTCTAGACGTGCTACTACTGAGATATTTTTAAAATCCTAGTAATACTTTGCCCGGCCCGGGAATCGAATCCGAGATCCCTTACCCGGCAGTCGCACTGGCGACCACTCGTCCAACGAGGCAGTCAAATTTTTGTGACGCTTTTCGTGAACTGACAATCTAGATCAATATACCTAATCAAAGAATTATCTATAGGTACCTTAAGAAAATTTAAATTATGTGGGGTCGTCACTACCGAAAGCTGCCTTATAAAGGAATATATTTTTAAATAATTTACTTAAATACTGAAAACTTTTTTTCTAAAACAGATTCTTACAAGAAACAGATTAATATGGCGTTGCGTCATCTTCAGATGGCGGGAGCATCTCAGAAATGTTTGCTGCTAATTTTTCTAAAATGTACAGCGAGCAAGACGTAACTCATCATTCACGTCCCACAGAGTATTTGCAGACTTTGTCAACTTACAGTTTACCTTTGATGGCACCAATAATTGACATAGATACCTTGCTCAATAAATTGAAGTCTTTGGATTGTCGAAAAGGTGCAGGAGCCGACGGAATTCCTCCTTACTTTATTTCCAAGTGTGCTTCTTCTCTGGCAGCCCCCTTACTGCAAATAATAAACCACTCGCTTACCTCTGGCATGTTTCCAAATAAATGGAAGGTGGCTCAAGTAGTACCGATTCACAAATGTGGTGATAGTAATTTTGTGGGCAACTATAGACCTATCTCGATATTGTCTACATTCGCTAAGGTATTCGAATCGCTGATAACACCCTACATCCAGTCTCACTTAAAGCTTTACCTTGCAAATTCTCAGCACGGCTTTGTGAGCTCCAGATCCACATGTACGAACCTGGTGTCGTTCACGGAGACCTTGGTAGGTGCCATTGATGCGGGGGGACAGGTTGACGTGATCTATACCGATTTTAGTAGAGCCTTTGACCGTGTCCCTCATAACATACTCTTGTATAAATTGAAATCTTACGGAATCACTGGCTCGCTCTTTGATTGGTTTGAGTCATATCTCGATAGTCGTACCTTCTTTGTCGCTCTCAATGGTTACCGATCTGGCTCCTACCTCGTCACATCGGGCGTTCCTCAGGGATCACATGTCGGCCCAGTGTTATTTAACTTATTTGTCAATGATCTCGCAGCGGAATTTAAGTTTTCTGAGACTTTCATGTATGCGGATGACTTAAAATTCTGCAGACAGATTGAGTCGAATCTTGATGCTGAGTTGCTGCAGAGGGATGTTGATAGATTGGTAAGATGGTGTGATGACAATGGTATGAATTTGAACACTAATAAGTGCTACCATATGAAGTTCACCAGAAAAACTAAATATATGCGATCTGCATACTACATCGGTGGAAGCTTGGTGCAGGAAGTCACTCAGATGAGAGATTTAGGAGTTGTGTTTGATGGTCAGTTAACGTTTGTTCCTCACATTGAAAATACAGTTAAAAAAGCATCTAGAATGCTGGGGTTTGTCATCAGAAATGTTACTTGCTTTCGCCAGAATCAGACTAAAATACTTCTCTATAATTGTCTGGTTCGTAGCTCTCTGGAGTATTGTAGCGTTGTATGGAGACCACACTATGCCACCCACACATTGAGACTGGAGCGGGTTCAAAAAAGATTTTTGTGGCACTTAGCGTACTCTTCTGGTATAGCTAATAAGAAGCCGTCATATGATGAGAGGCTGAGTCACTTCAAAATGATATCCCTACAAAAACGAAGAGACTCACTAGATTTATTATTTTTATACAAAATCTTGCGATATCATATTGACTGTCCCCAGCTTTTGAGCAAGCTCAGAATCCGTGTACCCTCCAAAAATCCACGAGCGCCTATAACTCCACTGTGTCCTCCACTACGCAGGACTGTACTTGGTGCTAATTCTCCGATCCCTCGTCTATGCAGGTTGCTGAATAGCTATAGTGACCTTGTTGATGTGCATTTGGACTCGCTTGGCAAGTTTCGCGTAAAGGTAAAGTTGATTCTTTATGTTGCCCGAATGTAACTATTTTTATTTGTTTTGTCCTTATGTTCACTTTTTGTTTTGCCCACTATTTATGTTCTCATTGTAAGTATCAATTGTCTTTATTGTACGTACCGTAAATTTTAAATTTTAAGTTTAATATTCAATTTGTCTCCGATACTAGTTCTTCTTAGTTATTTTGAATGTTAAATCCATGTCAATGGTTGGATTTGCCTGATCATAGTGATTTGTAAACCATTAAGTATATAATGCATGTTGTGCTTACCTATAATAGATTGATGCACTAGTATTTAAGTTTTCGTAAATGTAACCCTATATTGTATAAGTGTAATCAATTGTTGGTGAGCCAAATCAATAAAATAAAAAATAAAAATTAATGCTCGTTCAAACTTCCAACCCGAATGGCCGTTACAACTATTTGCGCGGGAAACTTTACTAATCTGTCACATTCGACAGATGATAGTCTGGCTTGGGAATAAGCTGCTATAACGTCCACACAGGTCATGTTGACATGTTTGTAACATATAGTTACATTTCTTGACATTGTTTTTCATATGTTGTTCTAACTTGACATTTGCTTTATCCTTTACAATTGTTAGTGCTAGGACCGTGCGAGACTTTGCCTCACCATTTCTTTTCTAATTACCCATATTCTGACAGTTTGAGTATTTGTGCGGCCTACGCAAATGTTCTTTGGGTTGGTATTGTTCGTCGAATCAGTCAGCCCCACCTGTTAATTGAGCCGACTGTAAACCGACACATACGTACTGCCTTCAGAACGGGTCCGCTCAAACAGTTGTGGTTCTTTCCTCAAAAGGCCACTACAGAAAGAACTTGCACGGTTCTCACACATAATCTATTATACATATTGTCTGGACTTTAAAAGAGACAGACCTCTGAGTTTGTTTCGGCATTTCTTCTCAGAGTAGTCAGTTAGGAAATGTCGACCTCATCCATCGTTCGCTTGATAAAATTGTCGTGTAAAAGTGCTGCCTTGTAGCCCATTTGCAGAAATAAATTCACTTGTTTCACTTGTTTCACTTGTTTCACTTGATAACGTCAAGGACAGCTAATGCTGCAGATAATACAGATGAAACTAGTGACGTCATTTATATTTTCGACGTCTAATATTATGTAGTACTATAGGCTCGGCCCGTTAGCCTCCTAAACCCTAAATTATATTATTCATTTTAATTTTATTTAAATGCGCTAATCTCGGGAATTACTGGTTCAAATTGGGTCATTATTACATGTTAGATAGTCCCATTTATCGAGAAGCCATAATATACTTAATTAATCATCAATCAATTATGTGAAAATAATTATGTTTTCGGCTTACGCACGTTTGAAGAGGAACTCGACTGGTGTCAAGCCATTATAGACTCAAGTTCATGAGTAGTGGCGAAACTACAGGGTGGCATGTTAGCAAAATGCCACGGGCCTCCAGCTAGGACCCTGTTCAGGGGTTTTCATTTGAACTTCTCTGTTTTATTGGGTACGGGGGCCCATCCGATAAATTTGCCACAGGCCCCGAACGCTATAGTTACGCCACTGTTCATGAGTAGAATTTCGCGACAGACGACGCGGCGACTGTCACGCTGCTACTCAGAGTAAGCCGAAAACATAATAATTAATTTAGTATGTCTAACGAAAGCCGAAAGAAAAATATATCCTTACAAGAGCTTTCGTGGCGTGTGTTAAAAACTATTCTTATTTAAAAAAACGAACAAAAAACAACAAAACATTATCTAAAAACAATTAAAACTGACACACATTCTCCTATGAAACTGAACAACCTATCAGGGCTATCAGGCAAGCATAACTTCATTTCAGTTTTTATTTTCTCAACACAGTTTGGTCAAAGAATTGTGTTCTAAATTATAAATTAATTTGAAAACCTATTCTTATTTTTCGACCTTCTTATCTACAACAAACAAACAAGAGTTACCTTCACAATATACGTATACAAAACAACATTCAAATGCATTGTGAAGATTTTTTGTTATCGTTTTTCCTCTTTTGGTCCCAAATTCCTTTACTGTAAGTGTTGCTAAGATAGACAATTTCTATTATTTGTGGCTTTTGTAAAATAGGGAAGATTCATTTTTAACAGACTTCAAAAAAGGAGGAGGTTCTCAATTCGAGCGTATATATGTATGTTTTTTTAAGTCCATATGGACTTAAGTATACACTCGATTGCAGAAAAATGTTATAATTTTTTTTTACATAAGTAACACCTTTGTTGTCCCCCAAAAGCTGAGGCACAGGTGCATATATCGAAAAGTCACGACCATCCACTGAATTTATATGTAGGATGACGTCACTTCTATATGCTAATTCACTGTGAATCTGTTAAAAAAATCGTGTGAAATGTTTTTAACATTCTAACGCCTGAATACTGAAAGGACACTCAATTTTTATTTGTAATTGAATATCGTGCCATCTCTCTCATATCACATATAATTTATAGTGACAGATATACTATACTTAAGTCTGGACTTAATATTGAGTAGCGTTTCAGTATTCCGGGTGTAAACGTGATAAACAAAATACTTTTCTTTATATATTCGGTCATCTTCCCTGTAGTCTATCTTTACCGACACTTGAATAAAGGAATCATCTAAATCTCAATTATTTTAGTATTTACTAAAACCTAAAACTAACTAAATGATTAGAGATCTCTTACTATATATCTACATCCTATAACTTAAACTAGCAATGTTATATATTATTCAATTTAAATTTAATATATCAATAAATTCATTTAAATAAATAAAAAAACTCGTCACAAAATCTCAAAATTTTGTGCATAAAAATTACACACTAATCACTGTAACTTGACCAGAAAAACAACATTTTATCTAGAATCGACAAGATCAAGATTTAATCTTCTTTAAATAATTTACAGATAACAGTAGGTCGTCTATAAATAGTCAATAATAATAATAAAAAACATTATTTTAATTAATACTTCAGCGTTTCCACTGCAGGGAGTTGCTATACGTAGTATAAATTCATTTATCTACTGCAATTAGCAGATTTTTGTCACGTGATGACATGACATGACCTGTGTAATATGTATAACGTCTACGATATCACACATCACAAAAATATAACATTTATTTACTACCCAAAGGGGTAACTCCAATTCTCATTAATTATGAGTCGTATGTGATGGGAGCCTGGTTACAATTCTACGATAAACCGTACATTGACCCTTTCTAACTACAGTACATGAGCCTCAATTACAAAAACTATCTACCAAAACTACTCCCTGTGACTTCTGGTCAAGTAAAACCTCTTTCGCTAAAACTATTACCTCATTGCTGGGGCAGCGTCCAAACTGGCATCTCGTCCCTTTTCTTTTCCTTTTTCTTATAATGGTGTCTGTCTCGAAGTCTGACGTCATCTTGCCTCGCCCGTTCTTGGGCGTCGCTCCTCCAATCACTGCGCTTCCTTGGCGAACCTTCCTTCTTATACCTATACTCTACACCTTGGTTCTCGTCATAGTACACTCTACTCTTAACAAAAAGTCCGTTTTTGACCGGATCACACATGTCGACTGGTATTTCTTCCTCTATTTCTCCTTCTTCGTCTAATTCTGTGACGTCATCCCTGTTGAAGGTGAAACTGTGTGGGTAGTACCCTTGTAAGATGTCCTCGTGTCTGTATGCTTGCATTTGTAGCCAGACGTGTGGTAGTAGGAGCGGGAACCTCCTTAACCAGTACGTTACGAAGCCATCAGGCAACTTGCCTAGACTTTCTCGTACTTCTGTTTCTAATTCTCTGTAGTGGTGTTTCTGTTAGAAAAATATAATGTTGTTGAAGTAATCGGAACACAACGCTAGAGATAAACTAAGATAATGCTTACTAAATAAGTGGTTTGAGTACGCAGAAATCTTTGCATATCAATTAGCTACAACTGTTACAATAACACGCTGATCTAATAAACCAGAACTTCCTTTTTTTACTTGAACTACTTTAGCAACCAAAAGAAAATGTAAACTTTTCATTTAGCCAGCCATTAATCATCACTCTTATAGAAAATGCTATTAAAAATATACAAAAAAAAAATATACAACATCTACCAATAACAATATATCCATAATTACCTTATTCCGTATAGCCCTCAATAGATGCGCGGCCCGGTCCCCGCGGTAAGTCCTGCGCGCCCGCAGGTCGCTGGCCACGGCGACACAGACGCGCGCGCGCCAGTCCCCGCGCACCACGCGCCTGGCGCCGCGCTCCAACGCAGCCTCCGAACCACTGTCACCACTCTCCACTTGGTCACTTACATCCTGTACGTAGAAATGTAAATGTAATTATTAAATGGCTTCAGTATGTTTTCCTGATAATTAAAGTTATTTTTCTGGCAATTGTAAGTCTGCGTACTTTCGAATATTTGATACTAGCTTTTACCCACGTATTCCTGATTTATCGCATGGGAGCATTTAATATGGATAAAAACAGATGGATAATGTATGTATGTATATAGATGAATAATTTGTACAGATGGATAATGTATCCTATCACCTAAGTCAACCCATACCCCGCCTGTATACCAAATTTCATCAAATCTGTTCTGTAGTTTCCGCGTGGTTGACGGACAAACAACCAAACAAAAAACAAAGAAACTTTCACATTTAATTTAAAATATTAGTGAAGTGATAACCCAAAAAATTTGTCAATGTCTGCTGATAAAAGGGATTCAGAGGTCGAGCGAAGGAGAATTTCTATTCTCAGATTGGTTACATTACTACATTAGCCAGTTACAGTAGTAATAGACAAGATATTTTTTTTATTGAACTGATGACGTCCTGAACTCGATGCCATGCTGTGGTAATGATGATAATAGCGTAGAAAAGTAGCGTGATATAAAATAAGTGTTGAATCTTCTTAAACTCCGATTATGAAAAATCCACAACATTTGTTCATATCAAAGTAGTCTCTAAACATCGGAAATAAGGTCTATAATGGAGTAAGTGGAGAGCGATCACCGATGACCGCTTGGTGTTTCATGACAATACACTACTAGATATTCCATGACAATCATATCTAAAACGAAATGAAATCAATTAAAAATATAATAATGTATGAAATTAAGCATCGGTTACAGTGTTATGCCAATTATAAAATGCCGATAAGACAGGTTAATGACCTCTACGAGCAACGTGAAGTACATGTACCGACATACTTTTAAAACATACTCTGACTCGTATTGTAACTTTCGTGAGACATACGAAATAAATTATTATGTTTTCGGCTTGTTTACTTCAATAGCAGCGCAACAGTCGCCGCGTCGCGGGTCGCGAAATACTGCCCATGAATATGAGCCTCTAGCATAGCTTGAAACTAGTCCACTTCCTCCCTAATTGTCCCTCCGGTAACTTCACTCACACGACGTCAAACAACGCAAGCGTTGTTTGACGTCGGTTTTCTGTGAGGCCGTGGTATCACTCCGAAGCATGGCTCTCCCACACTTGAAATGTGACGATTTTTCACCTCAAACACATGCTTGTAGCAGTTAGCAGTCTACTGTTATATTAAGTTACTTAAATACAAATATTACATTGTAGTCAAGATTACTAAGATTAGACACTAACTAAATATGTCTGGCAAACAACGTCTAGTACACATGTACCAGACTTTGTTTAAGTAGTAACTCCTTATCTTTAAAGCGGGAGGATGAGTCAGGCGTTATCAAATACGGTTTCTAGAATACATTTATAGCGATTATGTAACGTTTAAAATGTTTTAAAATAAACCTAGCTTGAGTATTTTAAGTGAATTTTATTGATAAGTGTGGGAGAGCCATGCTTCGGCACGAATGGGCCGGCTCGACCGGAGTGATACCACGGCCTTACAGAAAACCGACGTGAAGCAACGCTTGCATTGTGTTTCGTCGTGTAAGTGAGGTTACCGCAGGCCCAATTACCCTCCCCTTCCCCAATCTCCCCAATTTTGAATCCCGAACGATCCTCAAACTCCTAATTCCCCAACAGGTCGGTAACGCACTTGTAACGCTTCTGGTGTTCCAGGTGTCTATGGGCGACGCCGATTGCTAACCATCAGGTGATCCGTCTGCTCATTTACCGGCTTAAGCCATAAAAAAAAATCGTTAATTAAAGAGAATTTAACATAGATTACTAGGTTTCTTTTAACGTAGTTGGAAGGCTTATGAAATTGATAAAAATCTAACAATCTAATTCAGTATTTTAATACTTTGGCAAGCCCGGGAATCCAGTCCGAGAAACTTGTGCCTACTCTTAAGCTTAATATTTTCAACTTTATTGCTTTTGCATTAAAGTCGAAAATATATTGGAGAAAAATAACAAATAGACTTATAAATAAATATTTAGTTTACCTGCAAGAAGTTCAGTATGCTCTGTTTTCCCCAGAACATGGGGTACTTGAGCACAGTCTCGCAGGGGGGACGGGAGCCGGGACGAGCTGAGATCATTGCGCGGATCAATATCTTTGTTACTAGGACCTCTTCTTCGGGCAACACTTTGCTGTGGACAAATAATTTATTTATTTATTATCTCTGAAGTAGATGAAAAATTTGTTGAACGATTTTTTTTTCTTTTTTCACATAAAGACTATATCAATGACAGAGAATATATATAATACATTTTGTCTCCACTCCCACTTCCCCAAAGTGTCACAAGACCCGACTAAGAATATTTAACACACACAATTTTTATACTGCTTTCTCAAACCCGTCTCAAACCATGGAAATTATGACAAACCGCCTTGGAGGAAGGTCTAAAGATGTAAGTACATAGATTACATTCAAAGAGACATACGAGGTATATCAAAGTTTAAAAAAATATGTCAATTTTGTATTTGTAGCACACTAACAGTGCCACCTTTTTTAGCAAACACAAATTTATTAACTAGCTTAACACCTAGGCTTCGCAGGGGTGCAATATCCGTGTATTAAACACATAAACCTTCCTTAAGAATCACTCTATCTATTAAAAAAGACCGCATCAAATTCCGTTGCGTAGTTTTAAAGATCTAAGCATACATAGGGACATACAGACGGCGGATAGCGACTTTGTTTTATACTATGTAGTGATTATTACTGTTATATGAATCCCGACATCGATTCACTGTCTAATATTTATTCAGGCATTCTTGTACACTGAATAAAATAATATTAATAATGTAGGTTAGTGGTAGAACCTTAATATTGTATAGTGTAAAATCTCTGTAACTTCTTGTCGTTTGCTAAATCGAGTCTTATATCCCGCTAGGGGAGCCAATAAAGCGCTGTTGTTTAGCTTCATAAACATGTAAGAACTCTTTATAATAATAAGCATACATAGGGACATAAAGACGGCGGATAGCGACTTTGTTTTATACTAGGTAGTGATTTATGACAATAAGACTCACTCAAGTTGGTCCAGGCTGTAATCTCCAGTGAGTATGTTGGCCTGTCTCCGGAGCATATCTCCGAACGGATGCTGGCCCTTCGACAGTACGTAGTAGAACACACAGCCTAAGGAGAATATGTCCACTGATGTTGTCTGTAACAAAGGAAGATAGAATTAGCCATCATTTCTTGCTTGATAAAATTGACGTGTAAAAGTGCTGCCTTGTAGCCTATTTGCAGAAATAAATTCACTTGTTTCACTTTCTTTTGTAACAATGTTATGACGAATGTGACCCGAAACTAATATAGCTTTTCTCAGTATATTCACGTGAGTAAGCCGTTATTTTCCATTTGACAACACAATAATTTATAAGAATTATACATTATTTTATATTTTAATGACTTATTGTGACAACAACTTTTTAAAATGAACTTTTTATCACAATAGGACAGTTTTCTGAATTTTATTTTAATGTATGTCTGGTAGATTAATTTAAAACATTAGACACGTATTCTTTCGTATATACTTTCGAAGATTCTTAATTACTAATTGAAATATCGTGATTTCACAGCGTGCTATATTTTGTAGCACGTTGTGACGTAACGACCTCCTATTCATAAACTTAACTACATTTTATCTAAGTATTGTTACTTTATATAAGAAAATAAAAAATACGTATCTAATATTTTTCTATGGCTTAAGCCGGTAAACTAGCAGACGGATCACCTGATGGTAAGCAATCGACGTCGCCCATGGACACCTGGAACACCAGAGGCGTTACGTTACCGGCCTTTTGGGGATTAGGAGTTTGAGGATCGTTGGGGATTCAAGAATTGGGGAGATTGGGGAAGGGGAGGGTAATTGGGCCTCCGGTAACCTCACTCACACGACGAAACAACGCAAGCGTTGGTTCACGTCGGTTTTCTGTATATCACTCCGGTCGAGCCGGCCCATTCGTGCCGAAGCATAGCTCTCTTACACTTAATTTTTTACTATCTAACAACCTACATATAATTTTATACTCTGGCAACTACCATATTTTTTACACATACCGTTCTCTCTCCATTAATCATTTCAGGTGCGATCCAGCCATCGGTTCCTGTAATTCCCGATCTCCTGGAGAAGCTCATTCGTCCTAGGTTGAGTTTCTTAGACAGGCCGAAGTCTGAGATCATGGCCCTCACCTCGCCGCTACCCGTCGGCATTGACAGGAGGACGTTGTGTGGCTTTATGTCTCTGTGAACTAGGATAAAGAGATTGTCAATAAAAATGGAAGAAAAATTCTTGATGCGATTCAAATATAAATTTCATTGGATTACAATTACAAATAACTTTTAACTAAAAATCGCTGGTTACTCACGTGAATATACTAAGAAAAGCTCTAATAGTTTCAAACCACAGTGGGTCACGTGTGTAACCCGCGATTTTTTGTTAATTTAGTATGTCTCACGGTAGTTATTATAAAAACAAATAACTTTTATTCATACCAATAGAGAATATGAATCTACATAGAAAGCGAAATAAATTTTGACATTTATTAGACAGCTATTATTATTATTCAGCTCTGACATAGTTATGCCCGAATACTGAAATGTTACATTTTAAGTTGCACCTAACTTAAGTATCACGCTACCTCTATCAAAATATTTTTTAAGGATATTTCACAACATTAATTCCATAGTAACAGTTAATCCGTAAATCTTGTAATATAGTTTTTAAAATAAAAAAAAATTTAGAGACAAAATTCAGCTCACCAATATCCATAGAATGTAAATGAGAAAGTCCTAGGGTTGCTTGTCTCAGCACTTCCACTGCATCGATAGTGCATTCGAAGTTTAGTTTCTTCTCCACATAGTCCTGTAGTGTAGCTGAACACAGTTCTAGTGCTATGTACCTGGAAATAGAAGATTGATATTAAGATATTACATATTGGTTTTTTTAATAAATTACTATTGTATTCAAGTTAATTGAATAAATAAATATAGACAACTTAAAATATGACTAACTAAAAACTAAAATATTTAAAATATTGCCATTCAACGTGGCAATGCTGCCAGTCTTTTGGGCACCCTACCTACCGATAGCAATAAGGAAAAACTTTTTTTTTTAATGCCCTCTGATACCTTTTTTATTATTATTACTTTTTTAAGGTGTAAATATTTTAGTTTTTATTACATATTTGAATAGAAGATGGCATCGATAGAAGGAAACTAATATTATTGTAATAAGCTATACAGGATTATGAAAATCTTGTTAATATTATACCAAACCCCGTATCAAACCAAAAAGACTCTTGGTTTAAGACCAGCTTACTCTACTACCACTGACAATTTATAAATTAGTATATGTATTTACTCGATTGAAGGGACATGCTAAAAATGCACAGCAATATACCATACTATTAAATATTTTATTTTATCGGTCCACAAGGTATACAAAAATCTCAGTTATACACAATGAGTAATAAATATAATAGGCAATCACTCATAGACACTAATCAATCATGTCTTAAGTACACAAATGGATATTAGATACTCTTTAATAAATATTTATTAACTACACGCAAATATCAACCTTACTCCTAACAACATACGTACCGGAATTGTTTATCCCTTTCAGTGCAATAGTAACGTACGACGTGCGCATGGGCATCTGATTCTCGTAGCAGCGCCACCTCGCGGTCAGCAAACGTAAAGCATTCTGGCAATAAACGCTTCACTGCTACTGCACGCTTGTCAAATGTTCCTCTGTAAAGTTAATCACAAAAAAGGCGTTTAAAAAGAAAGTTCGTAGTTAACTAAAAATCGCGGGGTACTCACGTGAATATACTGAGAAAAGCTCTATTAGTTTCGAACCACAAAGGGGCTCTTACTCATGAGCAGTGTGCACGGTCGCGGCGATGTCGCGTAGCCTACTTATACAGCCTACAGCCGCGATGTTTAGTTAATTTAGTATGTCTCACGATAGTTATTTTGAAAGTTCATAGTTTCCTGAGTAATAGGTATGTTTCTACGTAGATTAAAGTACTTGTAACTATTGAGCCAAGAACAAGTGATACTGCTACTTTTGGAGAAAAAAAAGAACTGAACTCCACGCAACCATATTAAAAATCAGTGGGTTAGACGGAGATTTTTATAATCCACTATTATTTTTGTAGTCACTTTATAAACGCGGTTTGTAAAGCGTTGCGGTTAATATTCAAACCTTCTTCTCAAAACTTCCCAAAGAATATACCATTGTGCCACAGTATGACATAACTTACCTATAAACAAAAGTGCCTTCGCATCCTTTTCCAAGCACCTGATCAGTATTGAAAGTGATCCTTCCGATGCGTACTTCACCGCCGCCAACTTCTACAAGTTGGCCGGTCACCTCACCGTTGGATGATGTCGACGCGTTAGACGTTCGAGAACCACCCTGAGAAAGTTGTTGGAATTCGCGTGCCTGCAAATAATAAAGTCATTATTTAGTTACTGAATCTTTTGCCTGGACAAGGTGGAATACACTGTATTGGTAAAAATTACACTAAGATCCATTGTATCACAATAAATTCCTATTTCTATTTGTTCCCTGATTTATGATCATTATTAAGAACTGTTAGATATAAATATTTAAGCTAATTTTCCCCTAGAATCTTGACCAGATTCGGTTAAATGGATATTTGAGACTCTTTGATTGAGTACTAAACATTGGTAAACCAAGTTAGTTCAGTGTTTAAGTCTATACTTAAATTGGTTATACATTATAGAATCTAGGCATAGGTATTCTCATTCATACATCTTTATATATTATAAATAAGTGATGAACATTTACTTTTCTAGGTAGGTATATAAATTTTTCTTTTTCGGCCCTTTGACTGGATTTTGGTGTGTTACATTGTTCTCACATAATTGAACCAACAAAACTATACTGTACTGTGAACGTGATTGAGAAACATGTGGATATAACTTCTTCTCCCTAGTAATCTAGACCTTGGAATGATCAAATAGAGGCTTCACTTTTAATTTTTTTGTTGAAGTTTAAAAGTGCCTTTCTTATCTAATTGATATAAATAACTTTGCCTTTTATCACTGCATCCATAATAGGTTAGATGACTTATTTCTATTTTAATGTCCTTCTGGTAGATTATAATCTACCAGAAGGACATTAAAATAAAGAACATTGGCCACGTATTTTTAATTTTCTTACGGTAATAAATACTTTAGACGATATGTTGATTTGAAATATCGCGAGACATCACTTTTGTGTACGTTTCATTATTTTTATCTAAGTATTGTGTTCATATACAACAAAATAAAACACGTGTCTAATATTTTTTCTTTACAACTGACAGACTGATAGGTTTTTAACTTTCATACCCTATCATCATCTCTATTGCAAATTTTAGAATTGATATTTGTGAACCTACGCATCAACACAACAGTTTATCAAACGATAACTGACCTACCTACTATAACACAATCAACAAACACACAATATTCACAATACAAAGATTACAAACGCTAACTTTCTCCTTGTTTTATCACATTTTTAACCTTATAAATGATATTAACGTAACGCTAGTGGATACCGATAAGGAGTACCCACTACACTACTGGCTATAAAGTAAACTATTATGTTTCTCCTATAGTTTTTAATTAAAACAATAACTTACTCTATCTTGCACAATTCAAGAATTATCAGAATCTTTTTAAACAACTAAAAATGGCGATCAATTCCCAAACGGTCACTGGTGACTTCATTATAGGCTTTATTTCCGACATTTAGAGACTACTTTTGTATGTACAATTTTAGGGGTTCATATCAAGTGATTAAAAAAGAGTGCGATATGTCACTTTAATTAAAGTTATTGGTTAGAAGATTAATTAAAGTACGATAGCAAAAGGTTTTATGAATGTGCTGTGAGTGGTACGCCGACAGAGGTCACCCTAGACTAGACGAATATATTATGGTGACTTCATTGGAGTGATTCTAAAACACTTTCGAATCACTCCAATGAAGTCACAAGTTTCGTATAAAACACCGAAATAACTTAACTTACCCTTAATATTTGTATGACGATACACAAATATAATAAAAACCCAAAGCAAAGTTGATAAACCCAAACGCAGTAATGATAAAATAATTTCACGAGTAAATCTATCCGAACATTCTCGATAACCTTTATCAAGCACTGTTTACTAATTGCTTCGAACATTTTATATTTAGCATCCGAAAGGTAGCCTTGAACTTCAATTCATACAAGTATATTTTTTATACTTATTTTTTATTATAAGCATACTTTTTTTAAGGGGGAAAATCATCGAATGACTGCTCCCGCCAGGGTAAGGAGGGAGTGTCAGACACTTACTGACTAAAAACCACCCTGTTCCTTCTCCTTCACGTCGAGCCGGAGCCCGGTAACCCGTTAGGTTCTCCGCGACATTATAAGCATACTAACTAAACTATAATTATATTTATTACTTTGTACGTATTTTGTTTTATGTAATAATTTTGATAGTTATATCCCTACCTCTTATAACCTTTTTGCAGCTTACCACCACCTACCACATACATTTTCTGCACTACCCAAAGGATGACTGGCAGAGAATGCTGTTAGCATTAAGTCCTCCTAAAGCAACTGTGTAAAACTTAAATAAATAAATAAGCTATCGTTGTAATTTAACTATTATTTTATTATGTTTAAGCCAGTGGAGCTAACTATACAATATTTCAATTAAAGTCAATAAATCGCAGTTGTTTAAACATATTGTGGTACTTGGCATACTTAAACGACCAGTTGAATATACAAAAAATCTATTATAATATACGATTTGAACCACTTGTGGGATACCCAGTGGCAGATGTACCTAAAGATGTTCAGGTTTTTTTTCTGAGAATATTCCATAACTATTATATAAGACTGCCTCGTTGGCCGAGTGGTCGCAAGTGCGACTACCGGGCAAGGGGTCTCGGGTTCTATTCCCGGGTCGGGCAAAGTATTACTGGTTTTTAAAAAAATCTCAGTGGTAGCACGGAGTCTGGAATTCTGCCCGGTATCAATAGGCGCACCCCCTATTACATGGGACTCATAACATGATTAGTGAAAAGTGGGTGTTACTTCTGTGGGCACCTCTGCCTACTCCTTCGGAGATAAAAGGCGTGATGTCATGTATGTATTATATAAGATTCATTATAATATTGTGTTCCTACACTCTACCTTCCTTGCAAATAGCTACACCCTACCATGAAATACGGCAATTAAAGAACAATAATAACTCCTAAATTAATTAAGAGTTAAACACAGCTTGTAATGAGCAGAACGTCTCACAACAAACGTCATGCAAAATTCAATGTCATCCATTTCCAATCGCAAGCCGGTCGGCCATATGATAAGGTATAAATGCATGTATACAAATACTAATCACGTTTGTACCGGCGTGTTGGCACCAACAAGGCGGCCGCGTGGCGATAACGCATTTTTATTTCAGATACTAAATCATATTTTAGCCTGGCAACCGCGTAGAATGTAAGGTAATATAGGCGTGTAAACCAACTGTAATACGAAGTATTTTTTTAATCATCCCTATCTAGAGTAACGATAATTATGTGAATTACACAAAGAATGTGAAATGGTGTGGTGTTTCACAGAACACGCCGTTAGGAAAACCTTTTTGAGTCTAATCCGAAATGTATTATCATCATAAATAGAATGTATTGAGCAGATAGATATAGCAGCAGTCTATAAAAATACTGACATTAACTCCAATCTGTGCCTTTAGCCAAACGCCACTTTAGCGCTTGTCTACCGAGAGAGTAGAAAACTAAATGTATGGGGATGACACTGACAAGTGTCAAAATTTACGTCAATTCCATATAATTTGGTTTTCTATTCTACATGTAGACAAGCGCTAATGGCATTTGGCTACAGCTGCTGAGTAGAACTCAGCAGTAACTCTACCTAGTTCCCTCAAAACAAAGAGAAAGTGCATCTGTAAAGTAAAAAAAAAATAAAGGTAACTCACCTGATATCGAAGATACCAGAACATAGTAATCACTAGTCCAACCAAAATGATTAGCGCAACTTTGAGAACTTGATTCTCTTGCTGGTGGAACCACAAGTACGCTTTTTTGTACCATAAATCAGGTCTGAACTCAAGACCTTCGAACAATTCCTCAGTTTGCACTGAGACAGATATGGAATTCGGGTTCGGATTCGACTTTAGATTCGTCTCATTCTCCACATCGTTGTCAGTTTCCGAATGCACCTGCCCATTGATTAACTTGATAGCACTATTCTGTGAGTTATGAACATTTAAGAAGTTCGAATTTGGTAACTGAGGCATCCAGTTTGTCGTCAATTCGGGGACTTTGTAATGTCCTAGTAGAAGATATGGGGCTGAGACGTGTAGATTCAAATCTTTGAGTTTGTAGTGAACATTTTTGAATGGTTCATATTGGTAGGTTTCTTCTGATTTTGGTTCGGTTTCTGTCGGGCCTTCTAGAAGTAAGGGCTGTGCGTGGCCGGTCGATATTGTGATCGTATTTTTGTCTACGAGTGATGATAACGCGTAGAGGCCGTGGTTGTGTTCACCAACGTACAGTGGGGCTGGAAAGGAAATTAGATTTTGTAATAAGACTCATTTATTTAAACCTTTTCATTATTATTATTTCAATTGTCGATGATTCGCTTTTTAAACTTTCGAATTTCTCTTACGTTGCATTGTGATACAGCCAGTCGCTAGTTTACTACGCCTACAATACAAACGTGATTATGATGTATGAATATTATATTTATTACATTCAACCTATTCATGTACTTTGATTTACTCCATCGTAAAATACAGAAAACAACACCAATAACATATATTATTGTGTAAATGCGGAAACATAATCACCGATGCATGTAAACTTAATTTTAATGTGTTTCAATGAAATAAAATGTTGCGCTGTATTTCCAAAACCACGACCAAATTTTTACGAAGTTTTTTCTAATATTTTTTTATGTATCTGGCTAAGTTTTCTTCCATGTATGCTAAAATGAAATACCTTATTTTTTATAAAAATAGTAAGTAAGTAATGTTACAACTATAATCATGTAATCAGAGCGGTTTTCAGATGACATACAATATGCAAATTAAGTCTATTACAGACTTTCTCATGACATTATGTCTCATTGAGACATATTTTACGCAGATTTTCTGTTCATACGCTTACAAATCGCGAAATTGTTTGTCTTTCTTTCATATCGAAATGGAGTATGTTTTTTGTATCAGGAAATAATTAGGAGGCTAAAGAATAGCATTATCTATCATTTAAATGTGGGAGAGCTATGCTTCGGCACAAATGAGCCGGCCGGGAGTGATATCACGGCCACACAGAAGTGAGTGAGGTTACCGGAAGCCCAATTAATCCCCCAATCCTTGAATCCCCAAATCCCTAAGGCACCGGTAACGCACTTGTGATGCGTTTTGTGTTCGGGGTGTCCATGGGCGACGCCGAATGCTTACTATCAAGTGACCAGTATGCTTGTTTACTGGCTTATCCCATAAAAAATCCACCAAAAACTTGAAAATTTATTAGGAAACAACGGAAAGTAGATATATTCTACAACGTATATTATACGTAGCTAGAACAGTAAACATCTTACTTAAGAAAATACTTGAGCATACATCGCCCCACTAAAGTGCCTAACAAGTCCGTTTAATAGGATCATTACTCTTAATTTTTTAGAGACGCAACCTAAAAAGGTTCTTAACTTATAAAGTTGGTCTAGAGAGAGAGAAGGTTTCATAATGAGTAGAAATATTTTTCTAATTATTATGAAACCTTTACAAAGGACATAATGAGAATATCTAATTACTTTAAAACATAGACAGCAACGGAAAAACTTCAGGTACCATGATTACATGTGATTCTTAAATCCGAGGATAAGAAATAAACATCTCTGTTCCGTGAATGATACCTAACAGTACCTCTGTTAGGTTAGACAAACTATTATTGAGCTTTTCGATGTTTAATACCACTCTGTAAAATTTTTAAGGAAAAATGGGTGACGTCTGTTAGGTATCATTTATAGATTGGTGAAAATTAAATATCGTTAAATGTCACCCATTTTTCATTAGGGATTCCTTAAAAAATTTACAGAGTGATATTAAACATCGAAAAGCTCAATAATAGTTAGTCTGTCCCGAGACCCTATGAACTCATGACAGTAACCGATACAAACTTCACACAAAGCCCACAAACGATGCAGCTTATCTCAATTCAGTCCAATTTAATTACTTGAAACATAATACTCTCTCATATAAGAACGTAGAAGAACCATTTATCGGTACTTCTCACAAATAATTTTGTTATCTGTCACTTCAAAACGATGTTTATCGATTTATTATCGAGACGTGTAATGTGGAACGTCTAACGATACACATGTTTGTGTGTCAATCAATGTCATCGCGGTGCATTCTTTACTAGACTGTTCCATAATCCTATCACTTCTTTTTAATCCCAGGAATTTGTAATCAAGACCAAATACGCCCATTTAATAGATAATAAAACGCCCATAAGTATGAATAAAATGTGAATCCCATAAGGCATGCGTATTATCAAAATTCAAGTAATTAGAAAGTGGCATGGCATTTTATCATTGTACTTTTTTCCAATATGATTTTACTGACAGCCCCTAAAAGCTCAAACAAAAAGTATACTCACTATAATTCAATATTAGAATTCTTTATCCCTTGTCCGTTGCTTAATGTAGTGGCATCTTCCATGATATGATCCAGGGTATCATCACCAATAGAATTGAAAGGGACGGAGATAAGCCCGTCTCTGTCTAGCAAATAGGCGGCAACTACTGGAGTCTCAAAATTGTGTGACCAGACGAGGTCACCTGTCTTACGATCAAAGGACATCACACGACCATTTGACGTTGATGTAAAGTGGATTATACCTGTATACAAACAAGGTTTATTATGTACTGTGTTAATGGATGTATTGTTAGAAAATAAAAGGGGTTTAATATGTAATGTTTTTATCATAATTATGTTTTGTTGCTAAAGGCCCTGAAACTGATATGTTCACCCTCTGTCATTAGCCGTCGGTCCATAGGACCCATCCATAAGTATGCAGTAAAAGGTAGAGACACTCTTCTTCATCTAAATAAGAAGATTAAATATGAGATAGGAAAGCAATTCAAAAATATGTGGACAAAGTTACCTATTATAATGAGGTAACGAAGTTAAAATCAAAGTATCCAAGTTATAAGGAATACCAAACTAAAATCAGAATTTACTCCAACGATTCAAGCGAAAATAAACCAAAAGATAACAGGAGAACTCACCGTAATCATTCAGCATCTCCTTCCCCATAGCCAAGGACGTGTAGTCGAAGAATGTGACATTCCACTTATGGTTCTGATTCTTGGAATCATGCATCAGTATATTGTACTCAGTTCTCGCAACGTAGATTCCTCTCTTTTTATCCGGGGAACACGTATTGTCATCGGAATTCTTGAAAATCTTTGATTTGTCGAAACCTGCGAGTGAAGGAGAAATGTAAACGTTTCTTAGTTTGATTTAACAACTGTTTCTTAGTTTTGCTATGTGTAGCTGTACTAGGTATGTGGTTTGTAATCAGATTGCGAATGTAGGTATTCGTACTTCGTAGAATTATGTATTCGTGATTATTGGTTTTATGGATTTTAAAAAAGCTGTTGGAGATTACGAACGAAATTATTAGTAGTTAATGACCATTGAGATGAAATTAGAAAAGTTTTAAAAAGCCGAAAAGGAAAATGTCTTTCCACTTTTGGTTGCTTAGTGAACTAAGTGTTCGTTAACAAGTATACTTAATTACCTAAATACGGGTAATCACAAACATAGCAGTTGTTTAAAAATAACTGTATTAGGTACAATATGTCTACTATCCTGTTGAATTTTAAAGTTTATTCGAAAACAAATTAGGAACAGTATTAAACCTTATAAGGTCAATGCATATCGAATTTAGAGGTAAAAGGCAACAGGTAGGTATATTAAACCAGTTACATTTTCCCCAATGACATAATATTACCTACTAATTTTAGACCGACGACGACGCAACATTGATATACCTAAAGTTCAGGGGAGATCGCTGAATATTACTCTATATACATTTATATTTGCACTAAAAACCGAATAAAATCAATAGGTACCTACTTGGCCTGACAATCGACTCACTTGTTTGGCAGTCATACTTTTTTTAATGGGGAAATATCATCGAATGACTGCTCCCGCCTGGGTGAGGTGGAAGAGAGTGTCAGACTCTTACTCACTAAAAACCACCCCGTTCCTACTCCTGCACTTCGAGCCCGAGCCCCGGTAACCCGTTAGGTTCTCCGCGGCTGGGCAGTCATACTTAGGACCATTTTTTATGGAATAAGCCGGTAAACGGGCATACGGATCACCTGATGGTAAATAATCGACGTCGCCCATGGACACCCATTACACCAATGGTGTCATAAGTGCTTTATCAGCTCTTTAGGGATAAGGAATTTGAGGATTGTTGCGGATTAAGGGATTGGAGATTTTACCAACGAAGCATTCAAACTTGTCGTACTTAACGAAAAAAGAAAATAAACACTACAATAAAAGCAAAACCCAGGTATGGTTTTGCATTCCGACATATAGTTTATTTACGTTTCAAACTAATTATGCAAAATTCCTAATAGAACTCGTTTCGGAATATATATCTTTTTAATAACTAATAACGAATCCAGAACAGTCTTCGTACAGCCAAACTATTTGGTATGCGGGTAAGAAAATAATATTATTAGTAAACTATTGAGCCAACCAAGTCCTAAAAGATAAAAGCACAAATAGATAATCAAACGGAACCGTCACTGCACCGTCAATTTGGTTCGGCAGTCCAGTGATATCCATTGAAAATGTGCGACGGCCCGCTGTACAACACACTATCCAATATGCAGCTGTAGCCAAATGCCATTTAGCGCCTGTCTACATGTAGAGTAGAAAACCAAATTATAAGGGATTGACGTAAATTTTGACACTTGTCTGTGTCATCCCCATACATTTTGATTTCTACTCTCTGTGTAGACTAGCGCTAAAGTGGCGTTTGGCTAAATGCCATGGTCCGGAAGCTTAGCGGAAAAAGTGACGGTTCGGTTCAATCGTCTATTTGTGCTTTAAGGCTATTAGATTGTAAACAATCTAATTTATTTATTTATATATGTATACCAACAGCTTCTGTATACATAGTATTAAGAGATAACAAAGGTACCAATAGGTATTGGGCTTATACAGTCGCCGATTATAGGTTAACCAACTTTACAATTAAGTGATAAAAAAAGAAACTATACAAATGATTATATTAACTGAAAAAAAAAATTAACAAACAAGACTCCAGCTCCTTATTTTCTTACCTGCTTACCAAATAACTTGGCCGACTATAACTACTTACTATTAACCTCTTGTCTCTCGATATAGAGGTAGAGACACAATAGAAAACACTCGCATAGATCTGCGTTCCGACAGGCAAGAGGTTAAAACGACACAAAATGTCTCTAGCGTATAGCAATTTATAAAGGACCGTAATATCCGTGAAATGTCAATACTATTTAACACTTGATTAAGTTCGGATACAAAGATTTTCCAGATCAACGGCTATACATAATGTGAATGGAAAAGCCTTTTCCGGACTGACGTTTAATTTTAGTGAAAGTGCGTCCTGATTCCATACTAAATGTAAGGTACAGTCGAGATGAAATTGCTGAATTAAATCTATAGAATATTAAATGTTGAAGGTTTTTTAATTGGGTTGCACGTAGTAATGTGTATTAAAATGCTATTACGTTTAATTTTATGTACCTATATCTTAGATACCTAACATTTTAATCGGATTAAGTATTCAAGCGTGTTATCGTTTGAACATCTGGTTTAAATAACCTATTGGGAAACACTTTTAGTCATTTGTATCAGCGTAAATGCTAGTCCCTTTGCCGCGGAGAACCTAACGGGTTACCGGGGCTCCGGCTCGACGTGCAGGAGAAGGAACGGAGTGGTTTTTATCAGTAAGAGTCTGACACTCCCTCCCGCCTCACCCAGACGGAAGCTGTCATTCGATGATTTTCCCCCCTTAAAAAAGGCCCTTTGCTGAACAAAGGTCTTCCTCACTTTTAAGAGGTGATTTGCCGTAGTCTCGTTTGGAAGGCCGCTAACAGATCTCAATAAGGTAGGGAACCGAAATGTTATAAAATGCTTTAAATAAATACCCGAGCATAGAACGCATATAAAAAGCAAGTAGATAATTTTAATTGCATACTAGTACTTATCAATAGCATCCCGAAAAATTAATACATAGTTATAGTTTTGTCATTAGTTCTTCCATATCAGTTTCCCATTCAGCATACGGGTGTAGAATAACAGTATATCTATTTATCTGTATAAATAAATCAACGGGCCTGACATCGCTACGTCATAAGCAAACCATGTGTCCGTTACCAGCGCAGCGGTAATTACCATACGTCGATAAGCCTTCGTAATTATGCTCTTTCAATCCATACGGCACTGTCGCATTTCATAGTTTTTTGTAGCGACCAAGGACACATTTATTGTTGGTTTTCTACTTATCGCATTGGTATAGGCTATAGGACCATATGATAATATTACCGTGGCCATAGGGCACTAGAGTTATAACTTTTGGGATAACCATTGTTATCAACTTCACCTGTCACATCTAATTTTTTACCGACTTCAAAAAAAGGAGGAGGTACTATGTTCGGCTGATTGTTTTTTTTTGTTTGTTCACCGATTACTCCGCCATTTATGAACCGATTTGTACCTACTAGAAATTCAACTCAGGAACAGTAGTTCCTTATAATAAAGTCGAAAAATGATTGAATATAGACAGGTTGAAGTATTTTAATTTGTTGGCATTAAAATACTATCTATTTTAGATATGTCCTAAAATGATTCATCAATATTTTTATAAAGAGTTCTTACATGTTTATGAAGCTAAACAACAGCGCTTTATTGGCACCCCTAGTGGGATAAAAGACTCGATTTAGCAAACGACAAGAAATTACAGAGATTTTACATTATACAGTATTAAGGTTCTACCACTAAACTACATTAATATCAATTTATTCAGTGTACAAGAATGCCTGAATAAATATTAGACAGTGAACGAATGTCGGGATTCATATAATCACTACATAGTATAAAACAAAGTCGCTATCCGCCGTCTGTTTGTCCCTATGTATGCTTAGATCTTTAAAACTACGCAACGGATTTTGATGCGGTTTTTTTAATAGGTAGAGTGATTCTTAAGAAAGGTTTATATGTATAATACATGCATATTGCACCCGTGCGCAGCTAGAGCGGGTCGCTAGTAAAGATATAATATTATAGTGTAATCGCTTATTAACTTCGTTATTATCTAATCTAGTGAATAGATCAATTCGGTCAGTCAGGGTCAGTATTAGAATGTTCTCTACAAGCTATACCTACACATAATAATGTGTAAAAAAAACTTATCAACAATAATAACATATATTTTACTCATTTAATATTGGGATTGCCCACCGATCTAGGTCTAGATAAACAAGTAAAGGTCGTCTGAGCTAATGATGAAAAATATAACACATACTTTTATGAGGCTTTAGCGATGTATGCGCTATGCCAGTATCGTAAACTATTAAAATACGTTAAAAACACAACATAACATCACGCCTTTTATCCCCGAAGGGGTAGGCAGAGGTGCACCCAGAAGTGACACCCACTTTTCACTATTTATGTTATGAGTCCCATGTTATAGGGGCTGAGCCAATTTCCATATACCGGGCACATTTCCAGACTCAGTGCTACTACTGAGATTTTTTAAAATAGTACTTTGCCCGACCCGGGAATCGAACCCGAGACCCCTTGCCCGGCAATCGCACTTGCGACCACTCGGCCAACGAGACAGTCAACGCAAGGCAACGTTAAAATCAATCCGCCTTATTCATCAATTGGTCGCTAGCAAGTTTGACTACTGAACAAGACTTCTCGTATTCGATTTGGTAAAGTATTAAAGAGTTTTTAATCTTTTCAAGTTTTCAATAACCTTATACATACCTGAAACATGTTCCCTAAATCCAGTGAGCGGGTCCAGCATGAACCAAGTGTCACTCTTCTTGCCTGTATACAGGATACCATCAGTCGATCTACACGGAGCATTCGCTACTAACTCTGGTATTGTAAATGGTAACTTCTTCAGCATCTGCTGATCCCCTCGAGGGCCATACATGTACAGGAACCCATGTCGAGGGTCCGGGAGAAATTGGGGCATTAAGTCAGCTTGCTGATTCGGTACTTTTACTACTGGTTCTAAAAAAGAAGAAAATTTTGTTAATTCTTAATTATATATATATGGACTGATCACCTGATAGTAAGTGATCAGTGCTGCCCATTGCACCCACAACATTAGAGGAGTCACAAGTTCGTTGTCAGCCTTTTAAGGACATGCTTTTTTTCTTATGTAACTATAACAAAAGGTACTCAAACCAATGAGGGGTTTTGATTTTGTGCTCACGACGCCCACCTCGTCGACCTTCCACGGGATGGCATATTTTACTATTTTATGCAATTATCTCAATTTATATAGAACTGCCGACGCGCAGAATGGCAGATTCAGCAAGATATTATTATATTCGGCGCGGTGCAGTGGGTGGAGCGCCTTAGAATGGGAACTTTTTAAATGCATTTGACCTAAATCTGACGGGTAGCATTTGTTTGAATGAACGAAATCTTTTTACTTTTATATTGAAAGAAAGCATATTTATTCAACATCACGGTTATTTTAGATGTTTGGGTTCAATCGCTGAGACAAGAGGACTGTTGGGTTTTTCTGTAAGAGCATAGTTTGGACTTTTACATGATGTTTATCAGTAATTAACAAGTTAGTTAACAAAAATATACAATAACTAGACAGAGTGTTATCCAAGAAAAAAGATGGAAAAATTGCATTGAGTTACATAAAAAAAAACATTCGTAAAATCATATCTAACTATACAAAATGAACTAGTTTATTTTTAAATCACCTTCCATATTCTTAAACATAATACCTACTGCAAAATAATTTGAATGCAACAACACAATACATGGTTAGATTACAAGATATCTATGGTAATGACTTCATGCAAAGAGTATTTTCTATGTGATATTTCACATCCAATCTACATAATAATACAGAACTTAAAGACTAAAACTAATCTGAAATTCAAACCTAAGAACTGTAGTTTGTTATTTCTGAGGTAGACCCATAGTTATTGGGAAACAATCAATTCTCGAACTAATTTAAACTTTACTTCTATTAATATAAAAATTAAAATTAAAATGCTTTACCATATTTCTATTTGGATGTCTTCTTGATTCCTATTAAGTTTGATTTTTAATTTAATGTCTCTGGATTAACATTGATATTTTAATTAAAGATCGATTAACTAAAGACTATGCAAAAATGAGTGTAAGACTTGTTCAATATCTGCAACTTTTTAATGGGTGTTGCTGAATAAATATGCAATAGATAATAACATATCAGTGTACTAAATTACTCCACTGATTATACCTGCCCAATTAATTAATAATAAAAATATTACTATCACCAAATTGTACAATTTACATAATCTGGATGCTTCCATTTGTTCCATTCAACAAATAATCATTAGCAACAAAGTATACCAAAGAGTTGATAAAGATTTTTTGTTCAGATAACATTTTCTATCTATGTAAGTCTGGTAAATACAATGAGATACTATTTTTTATCTGTGACCTAATAATACATTGGAACTTTTTAATCGATTTAATGGCTGAATGGGTTGTGTGTGCCAGACACATATAATGTTTAAATTAATGACTATACACAGTAATAGTTTTAATGATAACGAATAATGTATGGAACATAGAATAATACTTTTATATTAAACATGTGTTCTAAATAGTGACTTACTCTTTACTTCAGAAACAAACATTTCAAACCTATAACAATGTACATCACTAATTAGATGCTGAAGGATTTTAAAATTTAACTTTTTAGAGTGAGCATTAAATGAGTTCTTTGTATAATTGATATATAGTCTACTTAAACTTCAATATTTCACACTTTCTCACTGAAAATATCGCCACATAATTTAAAATAGGTACATTAAAGCACAGGTACAAACTAGTAACTAATCAATAAATCTTAATAGGAAATCACTACCATAAAACTACAATACTCGAGATAAAGTTTATTAAAACTCGGGTAAACAAATAATATCACTGATTGAGGAAACTACGTGTTATCAAGTGGCAACAAAGTGTATTAGAAAATTATCCAATATAGTAATTGGGCACCCAATAAACACTGATAACTACTTAGACTGATAATATCAATATAATGATAATACTGTACTGTAATTTAAGTGTTGTTCTTATATGAATTTAGTAATTTAGTCTGTCTTTACAACTTTTTTTTTGTTGGTATTTAATTACATTTTTTTCAATAATTTTAACACATTAAACTGTCATATACTGCAAGGACACCGGTGTACACACACCTATTGTTCTTTAATTGTGTCTGTCCTTTTTAACCCTAGTTAACCCTTTGAGTACTGTCATAATGACAGTACTTAAAGGGTTTACTGCTACTCTGGCCAGGATTTGCCTTCTAACAAGTTTTGTTTTTTATAATAACTATCATGGGACATGCTGAATTAACTAAAAAGTAAGAGTTACTCACATAGTAAATATACTGAGAAAAGCTCTAGTAGTTTCAAGTCACAAAGGGACTCTTCCCCATGAGCAGTGTGCGCTGGACACTAGCATAGCTTTTCTCAGTATACATGTGTATTTACATGGGTAACTCATAATTTTTAGTTAAGTTTTATTTTTCTTCTAGCACGTTTTTAGCTAGTTTTCTTTGAAAGATATGCCAATGTTTCATGCAAATAACAAAGATCAAAACAATGTAAAATAACAGTTTCAATTGATTTTTTATTAATAATTCAAATTCAGCTTTTTTTATGACAAAAATGCATTATACCAAACTAGAATTTGTTTTAATTTTTTGACTGCCATTCAGTATATGACACAGATTAGAAACATTCTGGTAATCTACAGGTTAAAAATAAGTAAATTCTGTTATTTTCCAGAACATATAACTAACAATATGATAAATAAACATTTGAATTACCCAATATTTATCTAAATCCTTTTATCTGTCCGTTTAATGTAAAATATTGGAGGCATAGAACTAAAATGAGGATAATATGTGATACGATATTTATTTGTTATCTGTTGATTAATCTTACGATTTAACCCATAAAAAAATTAACAAATACTTTTGAGTAAGAATTTTATAGGGTTATTCCAATAATGTTGCATCAAAATATAACTTTTAGCTATTATAAGTTACCTTATTAGTTATTTGATAACAGATAATATAATGAGTGTGTATTTACAGTCTAGTATAGGATAAGACACCTGATGATTGCTTAAGAATTTAGATATTTACATGATATTCCAAAGATACTGTTTTGTCACAATATGAGTCACTGCTAAGAAATTCTAGTAAACAACATTTATTCTAGTTTTTATGTAGTTTAACATTACCAAAGTAGCAAAGTAAACCATTAATAGATAATAATGAACAAAGCATTTAAAGTTTCAAAGTGCACTTTGGTAAACAAACATACAGGTGTCAAAACACCCATGTTAGATTCCCTTAAAAACAAGTGGTTCTCTTAAAAACTATTGTTAGTGAGTTATTATTAAAATTTTTGTTTACCATCTTTAAGTTTCCATATAATATTGCCCGCCAGAGGCTCCACTGCAACCATGCCGCCCCCTAACGTGGCAAACAACAGGGGCCGCTCATCAAAAGCACGAGACAACTCCGTACTCTCCTACAACAATAATAATCACCGCTCAATACACAAACGTAACCTTGTATTCACATATTTCACAGTTCTATCAATAATAAATGCGGCGCAATCGGTGCAATCTCACCTTTCCACTACTATCAACAAGAGAACCTACACCGTACGAACCAAACAAGAATAATGTCACAAATAAGTACTTCATATTTATCACTTAATTTAATTCACTTTGTTTTAATCACATGTCCAATTTCCATTATTTCTGTGGAAATATAAAGTAAAAACCAAAACACTACAAAAGAACCCTCGCGAATGTTGTTTTTGACAGGAGGTCGACTGATGCAACAGATTATACTGAATCATTTTAGAGGTGCTTTAGTCGATTTCTTATCATTTTAGTATGTTCCTAAAAACAATAGTACGACGATCATATGGATTTTCAAATCAAATTAGTGTTTTAAACATTACCCTACAGTTGAGTTTTTTCGACATTGAATTTTAACCTTTGACTAAATGCGGTTTGAGATTGAGACACGCCGCGTCGGCGTCATATGCGGCTGCTCGCCACTGCTCAACACGCCGACGTCGACGCTGCGGTGTCACCATTGCAATGTGTATCTTTTATTTAATTTTAGAACTTAAAGTTAATTTTTAAGTAACTCTTTTAAGGCGTATGAAAATGAAATTCGCTCTTTGACGTAGCGAAACGTGCGACTTTGTATTGTTAACGACTTAGTGCAGACAGACACTGGGTTGCACGGGATTCGCGGTGGCGCAGCACGCTATCACTATCATCGTACTTCTTCTAATAAAGTTGCGTCTCCTCTGGATGTGAGCTGGCGCTTAGGTCCATTACAATTTACATTTAATACATGTAGTATGCAGTATGCAGCACGAAGAAGGCAGAAAATAAAAAATATTTTTTTTAATAACTGTCTATGATGTTGGTTGACATGTCCCATTTGAGGCCACGGTAATGTATTTTTGCCTTTAGGTACCATTTATTAATTGGTTCTCACCTCTTATTAAATCGACTAAGTGAAAAATCGATATTGTTTACGTTTACTATGTACTTTTGTAAGAATGACATTTCACTATGACAAGTTGACATTTCATGACTGACAAGAAAATCTTATTTTTGATCAGCGAGTAGAGCAACTTTTATTAAAATTAAAGGGAAAGACCCTGAAGTTAATATAAATTACTTATAATAGGAGTTGGTTCTGAATAATATGAATAAAACTATGGTTCTAATTAAATAATTTTTATCCTGAATTTAATAAAATGGAGATTTCTGGAGTGGGTATGTGTCGAATTAATTTACCAACAGCTTTTTAATCCAATAATTTTCGCATATGACAAATTCGCGGAATACGAAACTTGTTTACTTAAATAAACAATTTACGTCAGTATTGTGAGGCCGGTTGTTTATCAGTATAGATTAGTGTGCAAGTTTCGGTATTGGATATTGTTCCTCTGACAACAAAGACGATAACACAACGATCAGCCACAAATTGATCGCCACTAAAACGCTTCAAGCGTGTTTCAATGTAGCACTAAGCTTTCTGCGTTCTTGCCTTTGTGTTGTATTTTTAGTGCGTTTTAAATAAATCGTGTGGATGTCCTAAATAAATAATGGGTGAATACATATATTTTTAAACAGTGGACCTACGTACAGTGCTTGTTGTGTAACAGTGTTTTTATTTTCAGGTAAAACTCCAAATACCTCTCTATCATTCAGGTACAATGCCAACAATGAGGAGTTAGAGGAGTTGTACCATGTTTGTGAGGATGACCCTCCTACTCCGCAGTGTGACCCTCCTGTTAGCACACCTGTTGAAAATGCAAGTCCTAAGAGAGGGAGAGGTCTTCATCTATTATAGATAAATATTTTAAATCAATTCGGGCCGAGAAGATAGAAAAGCCTGAAGATGTTAAACCAGTGGAAAATAAACCAGAAGAAGTGAAGGGTAAGGAAGCTCCTATACCTAAGGAAGTCACATCTTCGCCTATGAAGGAGTATCTGAACAGACTGGGCAAGCGGAGTACACCAGATGTGACTCCTGATGTTAAGGAAGGCAGCAATGAAACATGGAAGATATTCCATGACTTCAAATTTAAAATAGCTCAAGCTGTTGAAGATATGAAGACTCGCTCAGTAGAAGGTGAGTTCATTGTTATTTTCTTTGTTTTATAATGTTAATGCCAAGTACTCGGGAACTAGTAAATATTTTATCATAATTATGTAATGAACTATGATAATTTGTACCGGCCAGGTGTTTCACACCATTGTTAGTTTTTATATTACAAAAAACTAAAATAAAAAAAAATATGCAGATGATTCACCATAAAGCTTGTTTACGTCATTATTTATATAATCTATGACAAAAAAAAAAATAATGACTATCTAGTTTTAGAGTTAATGTCCTTTCCTATTCTGGTCATTAACTCGTCGAGTACCGGTTTTATAGACACAATTAAAGAACAATGGGTCGCGGTCACCGGTGACCGCTTGGTATTTGACAGATTAATGAGTTTGAATTTATTTTATGTGACTTAGATAATATTGAAGATATGGAGTACTAATGGACCTGTCCCTAAATTACCATTGTACTTACTAGATTAAGAACATGTGTCCCTAATGTACTAAGACAAAGCATTGATACTTTAGAAGTACTATGAATATTTCAGAATAATGATAATTAAGAAAAATTTTTGATTTGCTTCATATGGAGTCTGTTTCAAGCCCATTACAGATCTTTAGTATTAACTAGGTACTCTCATGTGGTTTCATCCACTCTGCTCAGCTCTTATTGGCCATAGCATAACATTTTATAGCTTATAAGTTATAACTTTCCTGGATAAATAAACTGTTCAACACAAAAAACAAATTTTTCAAATCAAACCCATAGGCCAGATATTAGGGTGTTAAAAAAACAATCCAAAGTTTTACAATTATACTAAGTAGAAGATTATATTTTTCTACAAAACGTTTTACTGAATTTTAGTTTTACAAACATGTTGAAACAATTACAGAATACACTGATAAAATAAACAGCTTACACTATTCAAGGTGATAATAAATAAGCATTCATTCATATATAATTATTGTGCACTTCTGTATGGTACTTACAACATCATACTTATTGCAAAACAAAGGTTAATCCAAAGTAATATTTTCGGAAACTAAGAACAAAGGAATTAAATCCTTAAGCAATAGTATTTTAAAGTTCCTAATTCCAAATCAAATGGTTAGATAATGTTTTTAAGGTCAAATGAACTCGAACTTGATGCAAGGTTCCTGCTAATAGATATTTCTATTGCATTATGTAGGTTAGATACACATTTAATTGTTTATTGTAGTGTACTGGTGTATCTGCCAGTCATTGTGCATGAACTATTATAATAATTATTGTTATTTACTACCTAACATTTCAAAAATAATATTCTCGGTCTCTTAGCTAGTAATAAAAAATGTTTAGAAGTAGTAAATTAATTCATTATTAAGTATGATCTTTCATCATAATCATTAATATTTTTTTAATGTGGTTTACTGATCTTTTATGGCTATGATCTGTTATTCTTCCACTAGACATAAATTCAAACCAAAAATACTAGAAGCAACTGATTCAGTGGATTTTTGTACATATTGTGATGTATACAAAAATCCTTCAAAATAAATGAGATTTAAAAAAACAATTTGAATTTACAAATAGAGACGTATAATAATGATACCTGCATTAAAATAAAAATGTTTTTTCTAACAAACAGAGACTAAAGAAAAATCAATCCCAAGAGAAAATTCGATATCGGATTCGGAGGAGAATTCAGCAATCAAAGATTCAGATCAGCAGAGTGTTGGAGATACAGACAACCAGGTATGTTGGTCATCCTTTAAATATTGGTCGGCCAACATGGTCCGATATCCTTAACAAGATAATAAAGGGCCTGTTATGTAAATTATGGAACTGTCAGTTGGCCGACCAACATTTGGGTTTACGACACACTTGGGGCAAATTCCGTCGCAGACATAAGCACGTTAAATGGTCTGTTCCGATTGTAATACCAACATCTATACTAGTTGTTATGGCATATCAGAAGCGAACAAGTTAACATGAGTGCCTTTAGCCAAACGCCACTTTAGCGCTTGTCTACCGAGAGAGTAGAAAACTAAATGTATGGGGATGACACTGACAAGTGTCAAAATTTACGTCAATTCCATATAATTTGTCAAAGTCAAAGTCAAAATCATTTATTTCAATTAGGCCAGAATGGCACTTTTGAACGTCAACAAAAACAAAAATTTAAAGTGAAGCTATTTGCTCATTCCAAGGCGTAGATTCCTATGGAGAAGAACGAGCAAGAAACTCCATAGGTTTTTCAATCAGGTCTCAACTCTTTTTCAATCAGGTTCACAATACAATTTACTAGTTACATAGTTTTGCTGTTTGGATTGTGCGAGAACAATGTAACACTAAAATACAGTCAAAGTGATTGTTTTTCTATTCTACATGTAGACAAGCGCTAAATGGCATTTGGCTACAGCTGCTGGACTAACTATTTGCACCATGTGAAATACCTATATTCAATCCAAAATTCAACCGAATCCGGTTAAAACTCGATCCTCAAACCTAAATAAGGGAATTCCAGGAGTAACAAACATGTCCTAGCCTTCCCCTGCATGCGAAATCCCCAACGGAATATCCGAAAAGTGTGTCGTAGGCCTTGAATAACTTCCATTCGCATTCATAACACTAACATACTGACTTTCTAAAGTATTCTATTCATGATACCACCATAGCCCACCTCAGTTGACGTTGAAGATCATGTAAGTGACACTTGAAGTGACCAAGTTACCCGCATTCAAGCATTATCAATGTCTTTGTATTGTTTAGGTATCTAATGAAATTTTACCTAAGTACGCACCGCATAGCGCATTGAAGCCCCTTCGCACACGAATCATAAGTGTATTGTTATAACTTTGTTTTGACGAGGGTTGCCATCCGTGCATGTTTTAATTAATATTTTAAAAGTTTAGAAGGCATAATTTCATTTAATATTATAAGCTGCTATAATTGCTAGCAAAAACCTGTTCACAACTTCAGGCTCTGGACTCCAAAATCTCATGTATGCTTATGATTAGAAGCAACACCACCAGGCCATGTTTGTTAAATTTCATTAAAAGCAATTCCTTCTTTAGAGTATCGTAAGAACAAAGAAATAAAATTTGTCATGACAAGCCTCGTGTGGGGACATATTTGGACTGTTAGATAGCGACGTAACTTTCTTGTCTTCGTGTGCGAAGGGGCTAACCTGTATGAATGCTATAGCTGATAAATATTTACGCTGATTTCCCTGTTATGTCCGTTTACCAGACGTTTGGCTTGCCATGTGATGCTTAGTTATGGCAACCTGTATCATTGTATGGTATATTTGTGTGATGCTGTCACCTGTAACTTTTGATACCAATATAATTGTCAAGGGAATGTCTTTTGTTTAAGAAGTCTGCTTCGCTTTGCCCCCTCATTGCTCGGGTTCAATAGAGTTCACCGACTCTTATTAATTCGTCTTGCTCAAGTATGCTCAACTTCTCAACTTTGAATACAACTGCCTATCATAATAAAATTAGCATTTTACGATGTCTTGTTGACCTTATTGTAATTTGAGTCTTATGGCTGCTGCTTAAGAGTCAACAAGTTATCGTGGAAATCAAGTATGCCAAAATATACAAATCTAGTTTCGTTTTCGTACTCAGGTATCTTCTCTAGACAGCAGTATACAGAATTTGTCAGAGATGACGCAGCCTTTGACGGCTAAGGCGACTGAACGAGATCCAAGTCTTCCTGTTGATAGCAAGAATCACTCGGATTCCAGCGACGATACACACAAGAATTTAGGTGAGTGAAATTTTAGACTTATCTAAATATTTAGGTCATTTAGTACTACACTTACAGACGAACTGGATGAATGTACAAAGTATTATTAGAAGCAACCTAACCTAACCCATTTGGTATATTAAGTATCTAACCCATTTCCTTCTGTTTTATGTTTAAAGTTTTTTTTTAACGTTTTTGATAACGTTGTGAGTAGTGCGGTTGTTCTCGGTTCGCTCCACGTGCTTCTATTCCGATTTCCTGTCAGGAAATAAGCACAGTGTAGTATATACCTATTTTAAATGAGCATACAACTGTGCGCAGTTGTTCCAGGGAAAATATACAATACTGCTTTTGATAATTTCGAATGCCTATAGTTTATGGAGAGGCAAAAATGATAGTGATCCCAAGGTCACTCTATTCTTCTGAAAAATACTGCGTAAAAATCACAAATCCAATGTTATGTTCAAGTTTAACAACCGCTATACATTTCGTTTAACGTTGGATACATTTTGAAGTGGAACCATTTTTGCAGCTATGTACAACGACGACTCAGCAGAATTGAGAAGAGATTTACTAAATGACAGCCTAATGGAAGTGGAATCAGGGATTGAGGCTCTTGAAGACACTATAGATGGGTTCGGTGACATTCACAATGTGGAACCGCAAATATCAAGTGGGAAGGACCCAATACCACCGCCCCTAACACCGGCGAATTTTGGCTCGCCCCCAAGCAAAAATAACATGAAAGCTCCAAAAACCAGCACCAATTCGAGTTACTTTTTCAACTTTTTTATGTACTTCCTAACATTCCTGATTTTCATTAGCTATATTCTGTTTCCTAATTCGAATATTTGGAATGGTTTCGTGCTTGGTCTATGGTTCTTTTGTTTTATGAGTAATTTGAAGAGCTGGGTGCTAGACACGTATTTCAGTGACACAGACTCAGGTTCGAAACTCTATCAACTGAGGCGAAGTAGCGCAATGCCGCCTCCTTATACGATACCTTCGGTGAAGGAACATAGGCCTATTAAGAAATACGAGGTGAGTGGGACATTGACACATATTCTTAAGTGGAGATATTATTTGTTGAGGCCAAACTAACTGATCGGAAAGTACGACTTCTGATGGCTCTGGTTTGATACTTTGAGCCGGGAAAAATGTGATTAAAAGGTTTGAAATTCTTAATTATAACACAGTTTGGAATATAGTATCGTATTTGGCTCAATCAATGAACAGGTATTTTACTCCGGTTAATAAAACGCGTCATTTAACGTTGATGATGTTTTTATTTGTCTTTTAGAGTTGGATTAACCACTACAGGGTACCGGATTACGACCCGGGAACATACCACATTAACAAAACTACGACGGCATTTATGAAGCTCGAAGGTGAGTCATACACATTCTCGCTTATCAACTCCATACATTACATCATATTTTGGTAAATATTAACTATGTAATAGCTTTCTTTAGAGCAGCGCGTAAGGCTATCCGAAAATGCGAAATTCTTTAAACGATTTAAAACTTTATTGTAAAGTAATAAGGTTGAATAACGAATAAAAAATAAGGGGTAGCTTTAAGTGCTTTGTTGATTGTACGAAAGCATGTCCTGATGTCCCCTAGTATTCTTCAAGTAATTTTGATAGTATCTTATTCTTTATCATATCATTAAACATGAGTATTGTTTACAGGATGTAATCTAAGGATATCGTACACTTCCACTAAAATACCAAAGAGGGCGCTTTGGGATGAGAAAATAGAAAAAGTTTCGTTCTACCAACATAGGCTGTATAATTTGACTGGAGCACGAGTGATATTGCTACCTAAAGGACTTGTTAAAAGGAGGTAAGCACACTTAATACCTATAAACTTTGATATTTTAATGTGTCTGTCTGTTATCATGCTGTTTTTGTTGAGTGGTTTAACGTGGTAGTCTTAAGTTCGAAATTAGCGGGACAATAAGTTAATTTTAGTACTAAAACTAGAAAGAAAAAAAATCTAAAGTTGGCTAGAATCTATCTACTTTTGCGGCTAATTTCATTCAGAACTATTAAATTATTTTTGCGTTTGGCATTTTTAAACTTTTAGGTAGTCTATATGGAACAGATCGAATTGAATTCTGGGAAATCGCACTATTTACACCACATTAAAATCACCTTTAATTTGAATGCCGTAAGAAGCATTTTAAAAAAGCCTTTTTTCAACATTGAATGAAGTCTGGCTTACTGCTGACGTAATCGCCGACAAAACAAACATATTTTGTACGGCTCAAGTCGCTGCATTTTTTTCTATAAGTTGATAACCAAAGAGTTTTTATTCTCACAAAAAACTACTTGTTAACGTAGTGTCAATATTCTTTTATTGAAATTTCTATTTTATTACCAAGTGAAAAGGTTGAAAATCTGTTAAAGATTGTCAGATTGTGGTAATTTGAGCCGGCTTAGTCTTATCTATTTGGTTATTCATAGGAACCATTATTGTCGTCCAGGGTTTACACACATATTTATAAACAGCTCGTGTCCGTCCATATATGTATTATAGGCCCCATCTATTTAAGCGGTTCTCCAATCTCTACGCCTGAAATAGTTTGTGATTGCAGTTTAAAAAAGTTCAGGTATTTAAGTGTGGGAGAGCCATGGTTCATCACGAATTGGCCGGCATGACCGGAGTGATACCACGGCCTCACTGAAAACCGACATGAAACAACACTTGCGTTGGGTGTGTGAGGTTACCGGAGGCCCGATTACCCCCTTCCCCAATCTCCTCAATCGTCCAAACCCCAATAATCTTTAAATTCCTAATCCCCAAAAGGCCGGTAATGCACTTGTAATACCTCTGGTGTTTCGGGTGGCCATAGACGGCGCTGATTGCTTACCATCAGGTGATCCGTCTACGCGTCTGCCTGCTAATTACACGGTTAGTGCAGTGGCTGGGCAACCGGCTGCCACGCAACGGGTCGCGGTTTCGATTCCCGTACGGACCAACTCTTTGTGTGATCCACAAATTATTGTTCCGGGTCTGGGTGTATGTGAACTTGTATGTTTGTAAACGCACCCACGACACAGGAGAAAATGGTATGGAGCAAAAAAAATAAATACAAAGCTGCGGCCTGTTATCTGTTAAAATATGCAATCTCTCAGTTCCTCAATGAGTTCTCTTACTACACCCACCGGAACCACCCTCCGGCCTCACCCAGGCGGGAGAAATCATTCGATGACTTTCCTCCCTTAAAAAAAACCCACCGTAAGAGTAGAGATAACGACAAGTGTATACGGCACGACCAGAGTTATTTTTGGATAATTTATTCAGTCCTTTCCAATGCCACCTTGTTATCACCAAACTGCCATATTAAGTAATATTAATTGTATTATGTCACTTCCAATTTGATCAGCCGTTGGCGCGGGAAATATGCTAATATCGATAAATGGTTCCGCTTCAATGAACAATTAACTTATAATAGAAATGTAAATTATTCAAGTGAAATGTCGATTCATAAGAATTTAATTTAAAAAATGAATGTATTATAAGTAAGACTTTTTTAATTGGTATCTACGTCATTAGATCAAACCGAAGTATTTATTACATTTTAGCATTTTTGCTGTCGTCGTAAGTTAGATACCTATCCAAATTATTTCATTTTAAAGTAATAATTGGCGTTTAAAAAAAAACAATTTAAAAAAAGAATCTTTTCTATTATATGTACCTAGACCTACCTACTCAATAGATAAAAATATATACGCCTGTTTTTAATCAAAAACTTTTTTAATAGCGTCTGTTACCGTATTGCGTAGAAACTAAAGTCACGTGTATTAAAGACCCTATTAGAAAAACGTGTTGTATATGTTTTGTTCTCAATGTTTGCTTACGATAAACTGACGTCTACACTATATTTTACGTCTTTAAAGGTCACGAACAAAGCGCTGATAAGTAGTTAGGAACTAAATTATATTTCAACCTTAATGGTTTCGTGATAAGGTTGAGAATGAATTGAGCGATTAGGATAGTTTGAGGTGCGGTGTTCCTTGTGTAGTCTGTAAGGTCTGTTGAGCGCGTGAGTGCATTAAGTGCATGCAACTAACGAATAATTAGGTTAATGAACTAACTGGGTGCAGCGTCACTCCAAATCTACCTATTCAATTGTTTCTAATTCATTTTACTTTGAAGTTTTAAATGTAAATACATAATTTGTGGACCATGACTTTATGATGCGCTTTTTTAGGGCTCCGAGAGATTTTAATACTATTTTTTTTATGGCATTAGCCGGTAAATGAGCAGACGGATCACCTGATGGTTAGCAATCGCCGTCGCCCATGGACACCTAGAACACCAGAGGCGTTACAAGTGTGTTACCGGCCTTTTGGGGATTAGGAGTTTGAGGATCGTTGGGGATTCAGGGATTGGGGAAATTGGGGAAGGGGAGGGAATTGGGCCTCCGGTAACCTCACTCACACGACGAAACACAACGCAAGCTTTGCATCACGTCGGTTTTCCATGAGGCCGTGGGATCACTCCGGTCGAGCCGGCCCATTCGTGCCGAAGCATGGCTCTCCCAAACTTATTTGTAAGAACAAAAGCTTATGGGCCGCCTGATAATAAAATGTCATTGTAGCCTTAATATAATAATATTTGTAACACCACCATGGGGCATTACGAGTATTTTACCAAACATAAACATCTAATAAAAATAGTATTTGGTTTGTTAATCATTATACCTATGTATCCTCATATGTCAATAGGCTCACCCACTTATTAGTGGGTGTAGTATTCAACAAGCTTACCAAAAAAAAAAAATGTGCTCGGAACTTTTAAAACTGCTAACCGACATCTTTGTCTAGTTTTTGCGAAAATAAAAGTCGCGACGTATACAGCCAAAGTCAAGGACATTGAATGATACTAAAAATATTTTATCACGTCGTTAGTTACCTATAGAGAAATGAAAACAGGTTTCATTAGTCGATTTTTAATCTTATTACCATGAAATTATAATATTATGCACCTCTCCGATGCTATTATTAGTAGCTAGAAAGCATCCTTAAGCGTTATTTCATCCATTTCGTTACTATTATTACATATTTTATTGATTTCAATAATATACATTTGGTTATATATAGCGATGCTACTAGTAAAAGGCCACTTCTTTAAGTCCATCGTTAAAGGAGAACGAATGAATTAGCAACTACATACATATCTTCACGCCTTTTTCCCATAATTGGCATAATTTTAGCCTCATTGATTAGCATATCGAGAACCCTGATAGTACTTGCTTGGCTGCTTTGCTCAACCGAAACCTAAGCTTTTCTAGCATGGCAGTCGCATATTTATTTATATAAAAAGGCATTTCGCTCAATTAAAAAAGGCATAATTCCATCGAAAAAGTACAGTTACTTTTTAAAGTTTAGAACATGATGCTATCTGTATCTTGGTGTCTGGTCGCACGTTTATGGCGTACTCTAACCCATGAATAATAAATGCGTAGCTTAAAAATAACTGCAGACTAAATACTCAACTGTTTAGACTAAACAATATCACAATTGGCGTAATTAAGCCATCCGTGTAATTACAACAGCGACCTGAATTCACTATTGTTTCGTAACAAAGTTTTGGAACAAAAATATTATCTAACTGAGTAAAATGTTACAGTTCAGTACACACGGATTTCCTCTACGTCTGATAAAGAAAATTAATACAAATATTTATCGCGAATTTCCTCCTATTTTGTCGTATTATGTAATTTTATTTATTAGGTAATGTTTCATTATTAGTTGACGTCGGGTTATTGTTTCATTAAAGATATACTTTGGTCATACCTTTTGCATATTATACATGGTCCCGAAGCAATAAAAAAATCATTATCGCATATTTTTTACGCCGATTTAAATATTTGCCATGTAGTGTACAGTTAAAGTATGTAGTCATACAAAAAGTCCCGGCCCGAGCTCTAATAGCACTCGTCATGTTAATTATCTCACAACAATGAGGCCTAGCTGACATTTGAATGAATTATTTATACTGCTATGTACAGTTTTCCAAGAATTTTGAACAAAATTAGAAGTGTAGGAATATTAAGATACTGATCACATGGTATAATTTTAGCCATGTGATAATGGTGGGGTGCAAAGTAGAATGCATTTGTCATATATATATCTTCTATCTTTCCGAGGGTGTTTTAAGAAGTCATCATTGGACTACAAAGACAGAACTGTTACTGTATAACCTGCAGCTGTAGCCAAATGCCATTTAGCGCTTGTCTACTTGTATAGTAGAAAACTAAATTATATGGGATTTTCGCAAATTTTGACACTTTTTAGTGTCATCCCCATACATTTAGTTTTTTACTCTCTCGGTAGACAAGCGCTAAAGTGGCGTTTGGCTAAAGGCATTGAATCTTTTTAAGTATGATCTCCAAAGCTCCTGCGAAGCGCATACATTATGGCATCTTAATGATAAGATTTTGTACCAAAACCTTAAGAGGCCTTAGTCTCCTTACGTGGAAACAAAAATTCGTTGTTTTTAAATATGTATGATGTGATTCTAATCTAAACCCGATACATAGTTTACGATCTGATTAGCGACCACCTTATCTGATTGATTTTATTACCATAGCTGATGACCATGCTTTGAAAACGAATAATAGAAATATCCAATTATATTTTCTCGATATGGGTGACTAAGATACTGGGTAATTAATAATGAAGTGTTAACCTATTAACATAACAGTTTAATCATTATTTTTAAAATGTAAAATACCCACTGATAGCCAAGTTACCACAAAAGTGACTACCAAACACGAGGTCTGGAGAGTGCATAGACAGACATAGACACCTGCTCCTGGGTTACAAAAAAACGAGCGTACCATAAGTGGTAGAGGCATGGACAATACGAATGAATTTATAAAATCAACGCTCGTGAATGACAGATGGCCAATGATCTCACGTAAAATAATGATTCAAACGTGATTGCTTATCAAAATAGTGAATTGGCACCCATGAGAAATGTAATAGCATTCGCATGGATTTCATATCACTATTAAATCTATACTAGTACCTAAAATATTATATTACTTCTTCGAATGTATTGCCTTGAGCGATCAAGGTTGTAAACAATTGACAATGCAGTGCATTCAGTGTTAGCCTAGATTGCATTTGTTATACATTCCACGTGTTGGATTATTGTATAATACATTGTCTTTATATTCTAAATTGGGATTGTGTATACTTATTAGAGTTTGAGATTTGTTGATATGATTTTTCTAATTGTACTAATACAGACAAATATAATCTATATAACAAGTCTCGAGTGAACAGGTTGCTCATAGGTAGGCGGGCTCCATCGTCGGCCAAAAAATAAACAGTTCTACAACTGTTAAGAAAATTGTTCTAGGTCTACTTTTTATTTAGGTCGTAGTTTAACTTAGGTAGTAGCTTTTCTTAGAAACCGCATGAAATGGCACGACTTCAAAAAAGTAGTTTCTCAATTTTTTCGTATATTATTATTATATTAGACGCGACGGGTACTCACTTTAGTTTATAGGGTGCAAGAATGTGTGGTAATAGGACTACCTATCTCTTCGAAGAAAAACGAAAATAATTGCTATTAATTAATTATTATAAATATATGAGATTCTTAGTCTAATATTAGCTATTCTTATTGTTTAGACAATGGAGCAAGAAATACCCAATATGTGTAATACTAAGCGACAAGGAAAAGATTCAAGTATTAGAAAAAGAAAGTTCGACGGCGGATAAGAAAGCAACGGAAGCCAGTTCTTCTGAGAAGAAGAAGGAACCACAACAGCCGCAACATGAGATGGAGACGGAGACTAGTACTAGCCCTGAGAAGAAACGCAAGTTTGTATGGAGAAAACGAGAAAAGAAGTCCGTACTTTATTGGCTTCATATTATAGACACTGCTTTAATAAAATGCTCAAAGGCTGTTTTAATTTGAATATGTTATGACGGAATATACGAGTTTGTTAATCGTATATTCCGTCAGAACATCGAGATCGAAACGAGACCGCGTTCAATGCTCTGATTGGCCGACTCTAATGAACCAACCAATCAGAGCTTCAAACACGGTCTCAGTCTCGATTTGAGTACAGTTCATCATCATCATCAACAGCCTATAAATGCCCACTGCTGAGCAAAGCCTCTTCTCATACGGAGAAGGTTAGAGCATTAATCACCACGCTTGCTCAATGCGGATTGGCGATTTCAAACTTATAATTAGAAATTATAAGTCCAGGTTTCCTCACGATGTTTTTCCTTCACCGTTTGTCAGTGGTGTCTAAATAATCTTAGAAAGTACATATAACTCGGAAAAAGTCACATTGGTACTTGCCGTTGGTAGGTTTCGAACCCGCACCCTCATGCATGAGAAGTGGGCGTCTTAAACCTCCGGGCCACCACGACATTTTTTGAGTACATTTTGAGTACAGTTGCTGTAAATAATTATGATCATAAATGAATACCTAGCTGACTAGTTACTAAATATAAAAAAGGACTCCTTATTTTCATTAAGTAGAAGAAATTTAAAAAAGAAAAACAAGAATGCTCTACATTCCATTCCACCGAGGATTGTAAGTAGTATCTGTTGTCGCAGATACCTATGAAGCATTTAACTAGTACAATGTCTTTTTGTTTCAGTATTTCACATACCGACGGCGAGCCAGGCAAAGAGGGGCTCAGACATAGGCTCGTTAGAAAGATGCATAGAGGTAATCCATTAAGTTATTTTCACATTATCTTCTGCTAGCCGCTTTACCCGCCTTCCAGTGGAATAAAAAGTAGCCTATGTATTATTCCAAATCATAATCTACCCGAGCGTATGGCGCGTCGCGGTCTGCGCGCGCTTCAAAGAACCATCAGACCACCACGGATGGGACCCAATAGGGCTGGTGCCGATTCGGGACCGCGGAGAACCTAGCGGGTTACCGGGGCTCCGGCTCAAAGTGCAGGAGTAGGAACGGGGTGGTTTTTAGTCAGTAAGAGTCTGACTCTCCCTCCCGCCTCACCCAGGCGGGAGAATTCGACAATTATCCCGCCTTAAAAAAAATCTACCCCTGTTTTCATCCCGAATAGTTCAGCCGTGACGTGAAGGAGTGTCAAACGAACATATAAAAGTTCCCATTTATAATAGTTGGATTAGCATCGTACGATTAGTACGTCTTGTACAATCCAGACGCAGTATCTGTACTGTGAGTCATGAACTGGTAGGCAAACATACGTATCTATAGGTATTGTACTAGATGCACATCACATCAATGTACTCAATTGTGTCAAAATTTATCATTGGATTTTCGACTTTATATCTGAAATATAGAGTTGAAAATCGAATAAAGAAATTTGACTGATAAGAGTAGGTTTAGCTGCTACCCACTGTACAGGTTGTTATTGTCAATATTAAAGCAAATAGTCTGCAGTGTTCCTCTTCTATTGTGTATTTGTATTTAGTACTAGCTATTGCCCGCGACTTCGTTCGCGTAGAATATGAATTTTAGAATATAACATTATTTTGTTTCAAATTTCTAAAATAAAAGTAGCCTATGTTACTCTTTAGTACATCAGCTACCTGCAAAAAAGTGTTGCAAATCGGTCCAGCCATTCCAGAGATTAGTCAGTACAAACAAACAAACAGACAAAAATTTAAAAAAATGTTATTTTAGTATGTGTATCGTATGTATATTCATAGTAAAAGCTGTTATTTTAATATTACAATCAGACGCTCGAATTTTATTAAGGTATCTGTATTTCCTTTATTTCTTTTTGACTACTCAGATAGTTACTACTCCATGCTATTATATACTTTATTAATACTAATTATTAATATTAGTTACATTGTTCACCTTTCACACTAAATTATTGCGTTCGATTGCTGCGATTTTGCGGTAAAGGAACCATAGGCCACTTTTATGATTGTTACAAGGACGTATCTAATTTGCTCATTGCAATAAAACTAAATAGAACAATAGACGTCTAAAAAATAGAAATAAATTGTCCTACAATATTGCTCCTACAGACAAGAAGACAGACACCGTATCAACAGCAACGGAACCAGTGGAGACGCAAAGCCAGAGTCAAGTCAAAACAGAGAAGGCGCTGTACGTCGATGACTCCTTCCATGATCAAGAGGTGGAACTCACGTCGCACTCCGTCACCAGCACTAAGGACGATAACGACGAGGATATTGATGAAACTGAGCTGTCCAAGATCAAGGAGTTCTTGGAGGAGACTGTAAGTTGTTTTTTATTGACTTTAATTATTTTGTTGTCGACTATCTTCTGTCTGTCGTCCGCGTACCTGTGGGATAAAAAATAGCATATATGATATGTGGACTTAAGTGTGGGAGAGCCATGCTTCGGCACGAATGGGCTGGCTCGACCGGAGTGATACCACGGCCTCATAGAAAACCAACGTGAAGCAACGCTTGCGTTGTGTTTCGTCGTGTGAGTGAGGTTACCGGAGGCCCAATTACCCTCCCCTTCCCCAATCTCCCCAATCCCTGAATCCCCAACGATCCTCAAACTCCTAATCCCCAAATGGCCGGTAACGCACTTGTAACGCCTCTGGTGTTCCAGGTGTCCATGGGCGACGCCGATTGCTTTCCATCAGGTGATCCGTCTGCTCGTTTACCGGTTTATGCCATTAAAAAAAGGGTTATTCCACACCATAATCTACTCGTTGTTTCAATATATTTCATCCCAATCCCTTCAGTCGTTTTGGCGTGAATGAATAACAAACAAACTTAAAAAACATTCGCATTTATAATTTTAGTACGAAAAGGCTGTAGTTTTTAAACGTAATATTTATAGATTAATATTTTAACACTTTGATGGAAATAACACTGATACTTCTATTTACTGTCATGTACCAAGCAAAATCTTAGATGTGTGATTGAATCAATTTACTTGGCATTATTGTAATTACTAGTTTTTTTTTTTTAATTTATTCTATAAAGCATGATTAACATAATATTTCTACACCAGCAATGGTAGTGTATGTGAAACAATATTTAATGTAAAACCTCAATGTACCATATACTTGGAAATAAATGACATTCTATTCTAGAAAATTAGCTGCACTTCGATGTTTAGGTGATTCTAAACGAATTTCAGTTTTAATTTATATTTACTTAAAATTGAGTAGCGTTTCAGTATTCCGCCATTAGAGCTTTTTATTGTTTATCCTGCAAAGCGAAGTTTTCATTTCGTTCGTGTTAAAATGACAGACAAGAGAGCTAAATATTTATTGAACAAAAATATTTTTAGATAACATTTTTAAGATTTAAATAATGTTCAAGTGTATTTGAAGTACATTAAAAGTAAAGTTTATAATGATTTCATTAGCATTGCCGTTAGTAAAAACTTGCTATTGTGCTTCTGTTTTTTACAATTTACAACAAAAAATATTACTCGTTGTAACTTGATTCTTTTATCCAAACTTCCTCCTAGCATACATACTATTTTCCTTTAAGTAGTTTTAATTTGACCTTGAACTTCTATCACAGTTGTAAATAGGTACTAAACAACGTATAAAATAGAATAATTACGTCATGAATGCATATTGTTTACCTATTTGATAGGTAATTGAAGCAAGCACAAATGCATCTATGAATTGTAATTAAAACAAATATAAATGTTTTAAATTATAACTTGTATGACCGGCCCATAATTAATGTAATAAATCAAATGTAGATGTAATTGAATTTTCAACATTAATTTGAGAAAAAAATAGAACAAATCTTTATACAAATAAGAGGAAATGCAACTGTTGTAGTGATAACAACAATGTTCTGTGCTAAATTATATTTCTTAAAACTTTCATCTTTATATATTCGCAATAAGGTTGAAAATCCATTAATGGAATATCTGACTTAGCAACCGATTTGTATCATCCGTTGTCAATGAAGTATTCGTAATATTAGTAGTATTTATAACTAGCTTTTACCCGCGGCTTCGCACGCATCACAAAAAGATAAAAAGCCTATGTGACATATGCTAATACACACAGCGCCATCTATACCAATAATTTCGTTTTCCCTCGAGAATACCAAATTTTTCCGGGATACAAAGTACCCTATTATTTAATCCAGACTTCTAACTATACGTCTGTAAAAATTCAAAGCATTCGGTTCAGTAGTTACGGCGTTAAAGCGGAACAAACAAACAAACTCACTTTTCGATTTATAATATTAGTAAAGATTAAACTCTTGTTCTTCAGGAACTGGATGGAGGAGCGGACGGTACGAGTGAAGGAGAGTGGAGCGTGCACGTTAAATCATCTACGGACAAGCACTCACACCTGTACCTGTTCGCCAGGACGGGGCGGGATAAGCACGAGTGGTAAGTTGAAATATTGTTTACGGATGATGTATCTTGTAGGTGCGCCTGCCCAGCAATTGGGTACTTGCCAACTAGTCAAGTTCAATACTTTTTTCGAAACTGTCAATAACGACGGTTTAGGGAGTTACCACTTTAAGGGTCCACCAATGCAGTGGAAAGTAAATAATATTTAAAATGTTAAATAAACTGTTTTATTAAAATATAATATAATGTGAAGACATTTTTGCATTGGAAAAATCATCACGTAAGAAAACAAAAGTATTGACAGATTCTATTGGAAGAAGAAAATACTAAAGAAAAGAGGTGAGCTAACAAATAGTAAAAAGTATGAATATGAGGAAGGTACAGTATAATGAAATGATAAATAATGAAACGTATGTGAACAGCCTACAACGGTTTTATATGAATTTTGTATTGTGTATTGTGACGTCACGTGTTTTTAGTGTCAACAGCGTACTTATTTCTTAAAAAAATTCTGGAAAAATACTGAAATTAAGTTGGTCATAAAATCAATTAATGAAAGTGTGATTATTTTTTAATATTTTATTGTATTGAAGAGTCGAAATAATTTATTTTTGATTAAGGAAACTGCCCAATTGGTCTCAGTTCCCGAGTCTGGCAAAGTACCAACCATGCGTGTATTTTCTGTTATATGTTCGGTAACGGCACTGACTGACTATTTTATTCTAATATTACGATTAATTGCAAAATTGGTTTTTTGCTTTCCCTACTCACCATCATACATGGAACTCATGAGATAAGAGATGATGAAAAGTACAGTTTGACAGAAAACCTAAAACATTAACACCCGAATACTGAAAGGTTACTTAATTTTGAGATGTACTCAAATATCGTGCTTTCTCTTTCATTTTACAAAGAATTTGTAGAGACAGAACTATACTTAATCGCGACTTAATTTGAGGTGCCTTTCAGTATTCCGGCATATAACAGTTTTCCTTATAATTTTACTAAAACAAACACTGATTACAGTAGATGTAAACAACTTTATATCTACTTAAATACTTGAGATATTTTTAGATAGCAATTTCTAATAAATACTAGTAGCAAGAACATTGATTAAATTACAGGCGATTACATTAATCATTATCATTTGTTATCTATTATAAATATTGTGTGTAGTTGAGTCATCATTAATTTAATTACTGGTTCATTGATTTTTGTAGTCAAGTACGAACATGTAAAAATTATCATTGATTTTTGACAAAGCGAATTGCATTTCTAGACAATGAATCATAGAGTAGGTCTGTGGTTGTGTCTGCAATCATCTTGTAAACTGCAATAAAATATAACTGTAAAACACTGTTTATTTCTACTCATGAATGTGAGTCCCGGTTTGACTAGAAATTAGTTGAGCGTTTTTTTACATGCGTTGCTCTACACTAGGATTCTCTCCTATGTCGTGGGTGCGTTTACAAACATACAAGTTAACATAGGTGTCATGTCACCTAGATCCGAAACAACAATTTATGGATCATACAAAGAGCTGCTTCGTACGGGAATAGAACCCGCTAAACGTTCCGCGACAGCCGGTAGCCCAGCAACCGTGCCAACCGTTATTAGTTATTAAGACGGCTACGGTTACAGCTTCCCTTCATTACTTAATAACCCGTATTTATTTATTTATTACAGTCACAAAGGTTGAGAACAAAAACCAATTAAAGTAACTGGAATATACCGTATATTTCTTAAGAGACTTATAACACTTTTCTCCTACCCCTTAGGTATCGTCGCTTAGTACTGGCTATAAAAGAAGCCAACGCGAATTCAACGGAGACGTCGATGGCTGAGGACAAGACGGGCAGCGAGTCTGCAGAGAGCAAGGATAACATCGAGCTGGCTGTCTACAAACTCACCGAGAAAGAAACAGTTGCTTTCGCAAAATCTTCTGTAAGTATACTCATTTTACATCAGAAAAAAAGAAAAAAGAAAAATAATTTATTCGGTAAAATACCAGGCACAAACACAATACAATATATACAATGCAAACAAAAATAGGAGTGAAATAAAAAAAAACACAAAATAGATGTAGGTATAAATAAAAATTTTAAAGGTAAACATACCAACAATAGGTAATAGTTATGTGCCCACTGATGACCAAAGGCCTCATTAACACGTAGAAGGTTTGACTGCCTCGTTGACCGAGTGGTCGCAAGTGCGAGCAAGGGGTCTCGGGTTCGATTCCCGGGTCGGGCGAAGTATTTTTGAAAAAAATCTCAGTTTTAGCACGGAGTCTAGAATTGTGCCCGGTATATGGCAATAGGCTCACCTTCTATTACATGGGACTCATAACATAAATAGTAAAAAGTGGGTGTTACATTGTACAGCGGCATAATCTGCAACTCTGCCTACCCCTTCGAGGATAAAAGGCGTGATGTTATGTTATGTTATGTAATGTAAGGTTTGAGCATTAATCACCACCCTTGCTTAATACGGGTTGGCAATTTCAATCTTATAATTAGAAACTATAAGCTCAGATTTCCTTACAATGTTTTTATTTACCACTTGTCAGTGGTGTCTAAATAATGTTAGATAGCCAGTAACCGGCCGTGGCGTTCAAAAAGTTCATAAATTACACTCGCTGACTTTACTTAAGTAACGCTGAAATACTTAAACGTCACTCAATTTCAAGTCGCGATTTAATATACAGAGTGACTTGATTGACTCGTTACATCTCGGGAGATAATAGAATAGAATAAACTTTATTGTACATCATTAATAATATAGTACATACAGAAAAGGAAATCACAAACATAAATAAAAATAATAATGATTATAGTGATTTCTACCAGACAAACTTTGGGTGGATATAATGAAAAATAAATATTTGGACGGGTAATAATACAACTAATTTCCTACAAAATTCCTATCTCGGGAGGTGATAATACATCTGATTTCCTACAAAATTAGCCCTGAGGTCGCTAGTCTGAAAGTGGCTAGTTTCTGAGATATTCAACATTTTCGGTTTTGGTCAAAAGACCAAAGTACCAAGTGTAGTTAGTTTTTTAATAACTACAAAAATATTAATAATAAAAAACTACTGGTTTGATTTATTTGACTAGCTCAGAACTTGTGGACCAGAGATCTCAGGACTCAGTTAGTAGGAAATTAGTTGTAATATCCTATCCTGAGAGGAATACGTCGAGTTAAAAGTCACCCCATAGTTCTGTCCCTTACATATTGTTTGTGAAATGACAGAGATGGCACGTCATTCAAGTACAACTTAAAATTTAAGAGTCTTTCAGTATTCTTTGGATTCACTCGTTGGACCTTGTTGTGTACGGACGTGTGCCGGTCGTTCTGATATAAAATTTGCTTGCTTTATTTTAATTGGCCGTGGATGTGATTTTTGATTCCTTGTCGCACTTACCAGTGTCATATCGGTGGTTCACACCTACTGGGCGGTCTTGGAAAGGGACAAAGTAATTTGTGTCAATTTGCGCTTAAATAAAGTTCCGAAAAGTGATTGTCATTGGCTGGTTTCGAACCACCGCCGCCTCGCGTCAGTGCAGCTGAGCCGTGCGCCCCGCCACTGCGCCACGGTGCATGTGCTGACCGACTCGAAACAAGTATCCTGCTGCTACGTGCGGGTGCTACGAGGTACTACGTGTGCTACGAGGTGCTACGACGGCTACGAGTTGCCTACGTTAAACTGCATCGGCCCACTGTTGACTCGCTACGGGTATCTCGCCGCTGCTAATTAATACTAACTGTTTTGTTATTGTGCATTGGGCACTATGGCCAATTTGCAACGCACCCCTCCTAAAACGGCAAGAACACCGACTAAAAACCTGACCCAAACTGTGTCTGAGTCAGACATAAATTCGGCAGTTATGATGAGTGATTTTGTAAACACCAGAAGTAAACGTCCACGCCATGAAGACTCGCCTCAAGATGCTACAGAGATAGGCACGGAAGCATTGCACAGGGTAATCGCGCAGCAGACGGAAATAATGTCTAAGTTGGTGTCTGATGTTCGAGAAATTAAATGTCAGAATGCACAAATACAGTCCACAAATGCAGCAATATGCAAATCAAATGATGATATTGTGAAGTCTATGGGTTTTATGAATATAAAGTTCGAGGAGCTGAAGAAGGAAATTGAGACTTGAGGAAGGAGAAACAGGAACAGAGACAATATATTGAAAAATTGGAGAAAAAGATACAGGATATACAACATAAGTCACGGCCATCAGGAATTGAAATTCGTAATATTCCACTGTCGGAAAATGAGAAAAGCGCGGACTTAGTGAAAGCAGTATGCGACATTGGCGAAGCTGTTGGACTACACATATCCGAGTCAGAATTACGCGACATTTATCGATTGCCCGGTAAATCTTCAAATGGATCCGACAATCCACGTCCTATAATTGCAGAATTCAACTCTGTTCAAAAAAAACAAACACTTCTAACTGCAGTCCGCACCTATAATAACGATAAAGGTAAGGAGAATAAACTCAACACTGCAGCTATTGGCCTCGCGGGAACACGCCAACCAGTGTACATAGTTGAACATATCCCTCCCAACACAAAAATACTGTTTTATCGGGCCAGGGAGTTTGCCAAGGCGAACGATTTTAAATACTGCTGGATCTCAAATGGGAATATTTTCTTGAGGAAATCAGAAGGCGGTAAGCGACAAATTATCAACTCAGAGAAATGTCTGAATCATATAAACAAGTGACTATTAGTACACAAATACAAATTGCTCCTATTTTTTACAAAACATCTGTTATGCATTTATATTAAGTTAACCTTTAAATGGATCTATATTACGACACTTGATCAACTACCATATTCCAACTATATAACAATTGTCGATAATCGTATTAATGTAATAAGTTTAGTTATAAGACTATCCTTAGAAAGTAATCACCCATACACTCACACTCACAACCACAAACACATATCACCTACACTAAAAACTTACGCAGCACATACCTGGCCGACGTGTATAAACAACTCGTATAGGCTACCTTCTGTAAAACATTTAAAAACAAATGGCTAATAATAATCAAGTAACTTCCGATTTAGACTCAATTCGTGTATCATCTTCATACTGCAGTCCACCTGAAATGTGTATTGATTATCTGAATAGCAACTTCAAACGAACGCTAAAGGTTATTCATATGAATATACGAAGTATATACAAAAACTTCTGTGAATTCGAAATTTTATTGGCGCGGTTAAATATTAATTACGATATAATCTTGCTCTCGGAGTGCTGGTTAAAACGAGATTATCCCATACCTGTCCTGAAGGGTTACACATCATTCTCGACAAGCCTGATCCATAACCAAAATGACGGACTAGTACTTTACGTTAATAGTAACATCCAGTGTTGCGTCTCTGAGCCGAACGTAGCTGATTCGAATTGCCTTGTTTGTAAACTGAATCCTGATACAGTTTTTGTTGGAATATACAGGTCACCTTCTCAAAGACAAATTGATAATTTTATAAATAATCTTGATAACGTCCTCGTCTCTCTAAAACACTATACAACAATTATCGTTGCGGGGGACTTAAACATAGATATTAAGCCTAACAACAACCATCGACAATCAAATGAATATTTAACCGTTACTGCTACCCACTGTCTATTACCTGCACACGTCTTCCCTACAAGATTGGATAACTGTCTGGACCATGTTCTTCTCAAAACTATTTATAAAGCAACAACTATAGTTATTGAAGCGTGTGTAACGGACCACTATCCTGTTATGAGTTGTATCTATCTTTCTAGAACTGTACTCAGTAAGCCAAATCCTTTTATAGATTTTTTAGCAATCGACAATGTAATTAAAAATACCGATTTCAGTAATGTTTTATCATGTCCGGACCCTAATCAAGCCTGTAATACCTTTATATCTATCCTATCACCTATTATTAAACACCATACCCTATGTAAATCAGTCTCTGCTAAACGTCGTATTCTGAAACCATGGATTACTGAAGGTATATTGCGATGTATTCGAAATCGCGATCGTATGCATAGTAAACTTCGTAAATCACCGGATAATATTATACTAAAAATTACGTATAGTCGTTATCGAAATTTTTGTAATCAATTACTACGGAAGTTAAAAATAGGCTACGAAAAAATGGAATTTTTAAAAAATAAAAATAATATGAAAGGCACCTGGGAAACAATACGTAGGATTACTAACACTCAATGCGTTAAAACTCCACCGATAGAATTGCTTAAAGTATCTGACAATCCTGACAGCTCTGTAAATCAAGTGAACTCTTTCTTCTCTAACATTGGTCGTGACCTGGCACTTAAAATAACATCTGTAAGTAGGAATCTAAATAAGCCTAAATTTGAAATGCGAAATGGCTCTGTAGTGCCTAACTCCCTAGTCTTGCTAGAAGTTACCGAAAGTGAAGTGGAAAATATTGTAAACAATCTAAAAAGTGACTGTGCTGTGGGCTGGGACTCCATCCCACCCAAAATTCTCAAATCGTCACGATCCACCTTGGTGCCAATCATCACACATATCTGTAATTCTGCTATAAATTCCGGTACTTTTCCGGCGGCGCTCAAAAAAGCAGTTGTTACTCCCGTGTATAAGAGTGGGGACAGGGACTGTGTTGGTAATTACAGGCCTATCTCGGTATTAACAACTCTATCCAAAATTCTTGAACGTATTCTTAACAACAGTTTGGTAAAGTTTCTACAATCACATAACATTATTGCAAGTAACCAATTTGGATTTCGTGCGAATATATCAACGGATGATGCACTAATTGCACTGACCGAATCGGTTTCAAGGAGTCTTGATGAAAATAGAAAGTGCATAGGCGTATTTCTAGATTTATCTAAGGCTTTTGACACGGTCTCAGTCCCCATTCTTGTATCGCGACTAGAAGAAGTGGGGGTGAGAGGCATCGCCCTGGAAATTTTTAAGGACTACCTTAGGGGTCGCACCCAGCAAGTTAAAATAGGTAGTTACATAAGTGGAGAGGAGACACTGCAGTTTGGGGTTCCGCAGGGTAGTATTTTAGGACCAACGCTCTTCCAGATTTACGTAAATAATTTGTGCCGGCTAAAGATGGAACACTGTGAAATATTTACTTATGCGGATGACACTGCTTTAATAATATCAGGTGTAGATTGGTCCGAAGCAAAATTAGTCGCAGAGACGAGTTTAAGAACTGTGATGCTTTGGTTGCAGGACAGTCTATTAACTTTAAACGTAGACAAAACTAAATTCGTCACTTTTGCAAAAAATCTCTCAAATGCCACCCTTGACTTACTGTCTCGCGGCACACACTTGCACGCAGAGCCCAACCATTAAAAATGGAAATTGTGACTGTGCAGTTATCCAAAGAACAACAGATATTAAATACCTAGGCGTTGAAATAGATTCACAGCTAAAGTGGCACACACATATTCAAAAACTAACAGCTCGGTTAAGAAAGCTTATTTACATTTTCAAAAAACTTCGATCATCAACAGACGAAGATACTCTCAAATTGATTTACTTTTCATTATGCCAATCGCTCCTGTCTTACTGTGTGACAGCCTGGGGTGGTGCGGGCAAAGTCGCAGTCTTGGATCTGGAGAGAGCACAGAGGGCTGTTCTCAGAGTAATGGCCTCGAAGCCTTTTAGGTATCCTACCAACGAACTGTATAAAGAATGTCGAGTACTCACGGTGAGACAGCTCTATGTTCTCTGCACCATCATGAGGAAACATAGTTCGCTGCCATATGATCCAAAATGGTCCCAGAAAAACAGAAAAACCAAACCAATTTGTGAACCAATTCCACACAGAACGGCCTCAGCCGGCCGTCAATATACTGTAATGAGCTCACGTCTTTATAACAAAGCACACAAAATCAATCACATCTATTCCTTAACACGCAGGCAAGCAAAATCGAAAATCACATGTTGGCTTCAGACACTAACCTATGATGAAACAGAACAATTGTTAAACAAACTAGTCTAAATAATTAAATACTCACGCGTAAAGTTAGTACATAGATAGCAAACATATACATACATACACACTCTCACACACACCTTCACATACACTAACACACACACCCACATACATCATCTTTAATTATCTCTTTTGGTAACACTCACTTTCTTTTTCTCTTTTTATATCTTTATGTCACTTACACAATATTTGAGAGAATTATTAGCAATATAAGCATTCATAATTTTGTAATACTCAACGAGGGAACACTGACCCCCAAAATACAGGATCACCTAGTTTGGGAGGCAGCGATTTCATAAATTGTAAGCTGTAATTGTATGCCTATACCTAAAATCAAATATTGTAACTCGCTTGTTTTTAGTAAATAAAGATTTTTTATTTTATTTTATTTTATTTTATTCTGGCGGTATAAATCTGTAACAAAACTTCTCGTATTTCAGAGCAAAACTCCAGACTCGTTTTCAGAAGGAGGCGGTGTGACAATCACGTCAATGGCGCAGCCTATCTCATACGAATCAGACTACGATAAGACTTTTTGGCCTTACCTCGTGAAAATCATTCAGGTAAACTTAAACTTTATTTCTCTAGCTATAGAATTTGATTTAGTTTATTAACACTCCAAGTTTAAGTACTTGAAGTTAGATAAGGGAATATTTTTGTTCAGACTATAATTTTTACGCTAGTAAGGTCTAAAATCCTAGGCTATTAATGGCTGGACTTGTCAAGTTAAATTTCAAGTCAGCCAAGAGCATGTTTTACTTCGACTAAGTGTACTTTTTAAAGTCTATAAGGTCTGAAATCCTACTAATATTGTATTTCACACACCAAGCTTGAGTATTTGAAGGGTATATTTTAGCTCAAATTAGCTTTTTTAAGTATATAAATTGTAAAATCCTAATAACGTTGCTGCGTGAGACAACCATGAGAAGTCTTACATCTTTATAAAAGTATTTAAGTCAGCCAAGGGAATATTTTACTTCAACTTCGGTATTCAAAGTCTTTAAGGTCTAAAATCCTACTAACATGTAAAACAGAGTCATGAGATAACGTTGAAACAAACGTCAGAAGCGGCGGTGATGTGTCAAATAGAGCCGACCCCGAAAGAACGGTCCAAGAATAAGAAGAAGAGAAAAGATGTTTGTTTTATTCTTATTTTAAATTTTTTTTTAGTTAAAAGTGAGTTTTATTTAGTTTTTTTTTGTTATTAGTTGGTTTTTTGTTTAGTGTACTGGTTAGACACCGGATAGTTCATTGTAGTATCGTGTTGAGATTTTATTGTAGGAATGATTAGTTATTTAGTTTATTTGTTTTGCTATATTTTGTTATTAATGTTCGATGTGCGAAATATATGTATTAAATCGAAAATCTACTTCTCGATTTTAGATTACCTTTATTTCAAAAATATACCTACGTCATATTCTTTTTTTAATCTGATGACTTTCAATTCTTTTTTTTTACCACAGAGCAAGAGTACGATAGAGTGCACATGCCGCATGCTTCCGGCGGAAGTGACGTGGGTGAACACAATATTAGCTCGGATCATGTACGACCTCATGAGGGACCCTGAAATACTCAGCAAACTGCAGGACAAGATACAGAGGAAACTTAATACTCTCAAGGTAAACTGAATTTGTCACTGCTTAGTGAAGACCTCTTTCAGATTGTATCAACTTCGAGTGATTTCATTTAATTTCTATTATTAGTATCACAATCTTGACATTACCAAACGTCAACCGCAATATTTATTTTGTAATAGCAATGCTTATTTTTTGTTTAATAATAATTATTGCAACACAATTAAGTTGAAATATATGATTTACTCATGTGAATTATTCGACGTAGCTGCTCGTGAGTAGGAGTCCCATGTGACTTGTAACTAATCGAGAACTCTCGAATAGTTTACGTGGGTTAGCCGTATATTATTTCAATCAAAGTATTCCGGTTTAATTGGATCTTATGCTTACCTTCAGCACATTGGATGCCGTATCGGACAAAAATTATGGAAAACGCACTTGGCATGCACGTCATAGGCGGCCTACATTTTTTAACGCTACCGTCACTCTTGAAAGTTGTTGAAAATCATCCCCTAAATTTGTTCATACAAAAGTAGTCTCTAAACATTGGAAATAAGGTCTATAATGTAGTTAGTGGAGAGCGGTCACCGGTGACCGCTTGGGGATATACGGGCAGGCCCGCCGTAAACGGGTGTACAAAGCGTGGATAGCACACGGGCGCACGATTATGGGGGCTCATTACCTACTATTCAAAATTAACTACAACTAAACTATTGAATAAAACGAAAGTAAAAAGGAACAACAGGAATTATTTTTTTCATTTGTAAATATTTATTTTATGTGGGGTGACTTGTAACTCGACGTATTCCTCTCAGGAGGTGATAATACAACAAAGGGCATTGACTAAAATTGGTGCCTTTCTTTTTTCTGGCGGCAGTCGATGATTTATGGAAAATATTATCTAGAATGTCATTACAAACGAAATTGTCTATGGGCTCATATATGGAAATCTCAGTCTGGACTGAGTTATGAGCGTTAAAAGAAGCTGGAATCAAACATTTTACTTTCGTTTTTTTATTCAAATTATTCATATTTTTGTCACAATTTCTAACTTCAAATTGTGCGCCACTGTACGCCGGGCACAGAAACACCAAATCACACCAGAATATATCCATATTGCCAGTCGCTAATTTTTATTACCTATTTTCTCTCAGTCGATAACTTGTGGGATGCTTCTAGGAGTTGTGTCATGAAGCTTCATGAGTGTCAGCTGTGGTACCAGTGGTGGGTTGAGTAGTTGTAGCCATCCAAATATCTAATAAAGTATTTTTTTGCCGTTGACTCCTGGTGGGAGACTCATTTACTTTATAGTTAGCATAATCTTTTGAAGAAAGCAAACGGTCGACTTTGTAAAGTGATGGAATATACGTCAGATGAGCGTATAATTTTTTTATATAATGTGATCATTCGAAATGCATCACTTTGTGACTGAATGACGATGTCATTGTACAGAATCTTATGCTAGATGTAGATTAAAGTATTGTAGTTAGATTAGTCACTAATCGGAAGTAGGTAAGTCGGGAGAAGTAGACAGAAAAAATTTTTTTTCATGTTTTGACGACTGTTACTACTCAATCCGCTACCGACGCCGCAGCTGACAAACATAGCATTTCATGATAGGGCTCAGTAAAGTATTTTGCGGGTTTTTGACTGAGAGGAAATTGATCATGACAATCTGTCATAGGCCATAAACCGTATACATATAAATTGAATACGCTAGCCAATCAAACGAAATGTTTTTTTCATCAGCAGTGGTCAGTTAATGGTTGACTCTGTTCTGATTCCGTGGCCTTATAACAAAAAAAATAAATAAATGCAATAAATAAAAACAAAAAAAAAGTAAAAAAGTTTACAATATTAAGCTTTATTATATTCCTAGATATCGTCTATAAACATTTATTACAAAATATTTCTGACAAGTAAATGAAGAAATATGTGGTGTGTACGGTCACCATCAACAAAATCACAGGAATTATATAGCACTATTTTCACATCTTTGAACTGATTTAACTCGGTTCGGACTGTGTTTTTGATATAAGACCCCATACATTTTTTTGTTTGTAATGTTATTCTGTATTCGTTTATCCATATCCGATCAACTGCCGCGAAAAAATGAAAAGGCACCACGCTCCATACAAATTTGGTCATTGTCATTTCCTACAAAATTAGCCCTGGTCTCGTTTGGTCCGAAAGTGGCTAGTTTTTGAGATAATCAACTTTTTCGATTTTGGTGAAAAAATCCCTATCTTTGCAATACATGCATAGTTACTCGAAAACTATCGAGCGTCCTCGATCACTTTCGAGAGTTACTCGAAATCAGTCGAGCGTCCTCGAAAACTATCGAGCGTCCTCGAAAACTATCGAGCGTCCTCGATAACTCTCGAGCGTCCTCGAAAACTGTCGAGCGTCCTCGATCACTTTCGAGAGTTGCTCGAAATTAGTCGAGCGTCCTCGAAAACATTCGAGCGTCCTCGAAAACTATCGAGCGTCCTCGAAAACTATCGAGTGTCCTCGATCACTTTCGAGAGTTACTCGAAATCAGTCGAGCGTCCTCGAAACCTATCGAGCGTCCTCGATCACTTTCGAGAGTTACTCGAAATCAGTCGAGCGTCCTCGAAAACATTCGAGCGTCCTCGAAAACTATCGAGCGTCCTCGAAAACTATCGAGCGTCTTCGATAACTCTCGAGCGTCCTCGAAAACTATCGAGCGTCCTCGATCACTTTCGAGAGTTGCTCGAAATCAGTCGAGCGTCCTCGAAAACATTCGAGCGTCCTCGAAAACTATCGAGCGTCCTCGAAAACTATCGAGCGTCCTCGAAAACTATCGAGCGTCCTCGAAAACTATCGAGCGTCTTCGATAACTCTCGAGCGTCCTCGAAAACTATCGAGCGTCCTCGATCACTTTCGAGAGTTGCTCGAAATCAGTCGGGCGTCCTCGAAAACATTCGAGCGTCCTCGAAAACTATCGAGCGTCCTCGAAAACTATCGAGCGTCCTCGAAAACTATCGAGCGTCCTCGATAACTCTCGAGCGTCCTCGAAAACTATCGAGCGTCCTCGAAACCTATCGAGCGTCCTCGAAAACTATCGAGCGTCCTCGAAACCTATCGAGCGTCCTCGAAAACTATCGAGCATCCTCGAAAACTATCGAGCGTCCTCGATCACTTTCGAGAGTTGCTCGAAATCAGTCGAGCGTCCTCGAAACCTATCGAGCGTCCTCGAAAACTATCGAGCGTCCTCGAAACCTATCGAGCGTCCTCGAAAACTATCGAGCGTCCTCGATCACTTTCGAGAGTTACTCGAAATCAGTCGAGCGTCCTCGAAAACATTTGAGCGTCCTCGAAAATTATCGAGCGTCCTCGAAACCTATCGAGCGTCCTCGAAAACTATCGAGCGTCCTCGAAACCTATCGAGCGTCCTCGAAAACTATCGAGCGTCCTCGAAAACTATCGAGCGTCCTCGAAACCTATCGAGCGTCCTCGAAAACTATCGAGCGTCCTCGATCACTTTCGAGAGTTACTCGAAATCAGTCGAGCGTCCTCGAAACCTATCGAGCGTCCTCGATCACTTTCGAGAGTTGCTCGAAATCAGTCGAGCGTCCTCGAAAACATTCGAGCGTCCTCGAAAACTATCGAGCGTCCTCGAAACCTATCGAGCGTCCTCGAAAACTATCGAGCGTCCTCGAAACCTATCGAGCGTCCTCGAAACCTATCGAGCGTCCTCGAAAACTATCGAGCGTCCTCGAAAACTATCGAGCGTCCTCGATCACTTTCGAGAGTTGCTCGAAATCAGTCGAGCGTCCTCGAAATCAGTCGAGCGTCCTCGAAAACTATCGAGCGTCCTCGATAACTCTCGAGCGTCCTCGAAAACTATCGAGCGTCCTCGAAACCTATCGAGCGTCCTCGAAAACTATCGAGCGTCCTCGAAAACTATCGAGCGTCCTCGATCACTTTCGAGAGTTGCTCGAAATCAGTCGAGCGTCCTCGAAACCTATCGAGCGTCCTCGAAAACTATCGAGCGTCCTCGAAACCTATCGAGCGTCCTCGAAAACTATCGAGCGTCCTCGATCACTTTCGAGAGTTACTCGAAATCAGTCGAGCGTCCTCGAAAACATTCGAGCGTCCTCGAAAACTATCGAGCGTCCTCGAAACCTATCGAGCGTCGTCGAAACTATCGAGCGTCCTCGAAACCTATCGAGCGTCCTCGAAAACTATCGAGCGTCCTCGAAAACTATCGAGCGTCCTCGAAACCTATCGAGCGTCCTCGAAAACTATCGAGCGTCCTCGATCACTTTCGAGAGTTACTCGAAATCAGTCGAGCGTCCTCGAAACCTATCGAGCGTCCTCGATCACTTTCGAGAGTTGCTCGAAATCAGTCGAGCGTCCTCGAAAACATTCGAGCGTCCTCGAAAACTATCGAGCGTCCTCGAAACTTATCGAGCGTCCTCGAAAACTATCGAGCGTCCTCGAAACCTATCGAGCGTCCTCGAAACCTATCGAGCGTCCTCGAAAACTATCGAGCGTCCTCGAAAACTATCGAGCGTCCTCGATCACTTTCGAGAGTTGCTCGAAATCAGTCGAGCGTCCTCGAAATCAGTCGAGCGTCCTCGAAACCTATCGAGCGTCCTCGATCACTTTCGAGAGTTGCTCGAAATCAGTCGAGCGTCCTCGAAAACATTCGAGAGTTGCTCGAAATCAGTCGAGCGTCCTCGAAAACATTCGAGCGTCCTCGAAAACTATCGAGCGTCCTCGAAACCTATCGAGCGTCCTCGAAAACTATCGAGCGTCCTCGAAACCTATCGAGCGTCCTCGAAAACTATCGAGCGTCCTCGAAAACTATCGAGCGTCCTCGAAACCTATCGAGCGTCCTCGAAAACTATCGAGCGTCCTCGAAAACTATCGAGCGTCCTCGATCACTTTCGAGAGTTGCTCGAAATCAGTCGAGCGTTCTCGAAACCTATCGAGCGTCCTCGAAACCTATCGAGCGTCCTCGAAACCTATCGAGCGTCCTCGAAAACTATCGAGCGTCCTCGATCACTTTCGAGAGTTACTCGAAACCAGTCGAGCGTCCTCGAAAACATTCGAGCGTCCTCGAAAACTATCGAGCGTCCTCGAAACCTATCGAGCGTCCTCGAAAACTATCGAGCGTCCTCGAAAGCTATCGAGCGTCCTCGAAAACTATCGAGCGTCCTCGATCACTTTCGAGAGTTGCTCGAAATCAGTCGAGCGTCCTCGAAAACATTCGAGCGTCCTCGAAAACTATCGAGCGTCCTCGAAAACTATCGAGCGTCCTCGATAACTCTCGAGCGTCCTCGAAAACTATCGAGCGTCCTCGATCACTTTCGAGAGTTGCTCGAAATCAGTCGAGCATCCTCGAAAACATTCGAGCGGCCTCGAAAACATTCAAGCGTCCTCGAAAACATTCGAGCGTCCTCGGAAACATTCGAGCGTCCTCGATCACGTTCGAGAGTTGCTCGAAATCAGTCGAGCGTCCTCGAAAACATTCGAGAGTTGCTCGAAATCGGTCGAGCGTCCTCGAAAACATTCGAGCGTCCTCGAAAACTATCGAGCGTCCTCGAAACCTATCGAGCGTCCTCGAAAACTATCGAGCGTCCTCGATCACTTTCGAGAGTTACTTGAAATCAGTCGAGAGTTCCTCGAAAACTATCGAGCGTCCTCGATCACTTTCGAGAGTTACTCGAAATCTGTCGAGCGTCCTCGAAAACTATCGAGCGTCCTCGAAAACTATCGAGCGTTCTCGAAACCTATCGAGCGTCCTCGAAAACTATCGAGCGTTCTCGAAAACTATCGAGCGTCCTCGGTCACTTTCGAGAGTCACTCGAAAACTATCAAGCATCCTCGAACACACTCGACAGTTACTCGAATACAATCGAGTGTCCTCAAACACATTGGAGAGTTACCCAAAAACAAAAAAAAAACAAAAACGAACACTTTCGAGGGTTACTCGAAAATCATCGAGCGTGCTCGAAACCATCGAGGGCCCTCGATCATTTTCAAGAGTTACTCGAAAAATATCTAGTATCTCTATCATTGTAGAGAGGTAACAGCCGACGCTTTGGGTGTAGTATCGCGTCGCGTTGTCGGGGTTTCCGGCCATCGTAAGCGCGAGTCTGCGGACGGCAAGCAAGAATAGCTAGACAAGGACCAGACCCGAGCGTAAGGCGCGTCGCGTAAAATGCGGGCCTCAAAGAGCCACCAGACAATCATAGACAGGGTCCATCAGGATTGTTGCCTTGCTGGAGGATAGGTTGTCCTTGGCTTTGAGTAAGTTTTGGAAGGAATGGTATGGTTTTTAGTTAGTAAGACTTGTAAGAGTCACTTCCTCAAGAGTCATTTGATGGCTTTTTACCCACCCAACAAAAGAGGGTGGGCGGCATAATCGGTTTGCACGCGGGCGCTTGAATAGCTAGCGGCGGGCCTGTATACGGGTATATGTGTAGTTGAGCACACGCGTCTCGCGACGCCCCTTTGGAACCTTGCATCCTACGCACCACTTGCCTACTTTGGCATAATACGACTTTAGCTTACATAGTGATGCCTTGTTCCCCAGCTGCCATCGTTCATGTCCCCGCTGGTAGTGACGGAGCTGTCCCTGTCGGGCGCGTGTCCCATGGTGGAGCGAGTGCTGCCGCCGGCGTGCGACGCGCAGGGCGTGTGGCTGGACGCCGACCTCCGCTACGACGGCGGCGCGTTCATCGCCATACTCACTCAGATCAACCTGCTCAAGCTCAAGGAGAAAAGTAAGTACATCAAATGTGTTATAACGACATCAAAGGGACTACTCATCATTATCATCATCAACAGCCTATAAATGCCCACTGCTGAGCAAAGCCTCTACTCACACGGAGAAGGTTTGAGCATTAATCACCACGCTTGCTCAATGCTGGTTGGCGACCTTTGATTTTGGTCAATTTAACCGGTATGCTGTTCTAAACGATATCGCCATAAACGGTTTTGACTTCGCTATTTATTATCTACTGGCTACTTCCACGCGGTGTCACCCGCTCTGCTCGGTTCCTATTGATCGTAGTGTGATGTTTTATGACCTATAGTCTCTCTTTATAAATGGACTATCCAACACAAAAAGAATTATTCAAATCGGACCCGTAGTTTCGGAGATTGTCACATGTATAAATACTACTAGTCGCACTTGCGACCATTCTGACTAATAAACGAATGCTATTTATTTATTGTAACGTTATGTTCGTCAGATATAACACTGGAGGAGCAGTTGATGGCAACCAGCGACACTGGCTTGGAGAGTGACCTTCAGACCGATAACGCTTCCGTCGGATACTCGTCCCAGGCGTTACGGGTAACTAACGACACTCTCACACACAATAATCACACATGAACAACTCAAACTTCTTAATTTCATATAATCTCATATATTTCAATGACTGCGCGGTTGGCGCGGTGGCTGGGCAACCGGCTACCGCGCAACGTGTAGCTGGTTCGATTCCCGCACGGAATAACCGTGTGGTCCACAAGTTGTTGATTCCGGTCTGGGTGTCATGTGTATGTGTACTTGTATGTTTGTAAACGCACCCACGACACACGAGAAAATCTTAATGTAGGCCACTTTTCAAAAAAATTCAAGTGTTGATAAATCAATAATAGTATGATTTTAAATAAATTTTTGTTTTAATAATAATTAATTATGTTTTGCGACTCAACTAGTATCGAGCCATACTTGCAACTCATACGCCCGAATACTGAAAGGCTATTAAATTTTAAATTCTATTTGAATATCGTGCCATCTCTCATTTTCCAAAGGATTTATGAACACATTTCAAAATTAAGTGGCATTTGTGTGTTTGCACAATAATCATGCATTGCGCGACAAACAGTTGAGTAAGAAAATAATATAATTAATTTAATATGCTTAACGTATTTGAATTCATTAAATGGTGATTCACATAACGTAAATCCTGCCTTTTATAGGCAGAGATGCACATTATGCCACTGTACAATGCAACACCCACTTTTCACTATTTATGTTATGAGTCCCATGTAATAGGGGGTGTGCCTATTGCCATATACCGGGCACAATTCCGGACTCCGTGCTACTACTGAGATTTTTTGAAAAACCCAGTAATACTTTGCCCGACCCGGGAATCGAACCCGAGAGCCCTTGCTCGGCAGTCGTACTTGCGACCACTCGGCCAACAAGGCAGAGCAGCGGTCATTCACAGTAGTGTAAAAATCTGGGACGGTCACAATATGAAAAATAAAAATCCTTACTATACTTCCTAATATTATAAATCGGAAAGTGAGTTCGTTTGTTTGTTTGTTCCACTTTCACGCCGTAACTACTAAACAGATTGCTTTGAATTTTTGCAGACATAAAGTTAAAAGTCTGGATTAAATAATAGGGTAATTTTTTACCCGGAAAAATGTGATATTCCCGAGGAAAAACAAAAGTATTGGTATAGATGGCGCGGTGTGTATTGGTATATGTCACATAGGCTACTTTTTATGCTTTTGTGACGCGAGCGAAGCCGCGGGTAAAAGCTAGTTAAATAATATAATGTATTGAAGAAATATTATACCAAAAAACAGCTTCCAATACATAATTTAATCTACTTTAATTCTATTTCAGTTAATGAAGCCTGCGATATATGACTCCGAGGTGGAGGACTCCGCGGAGTCGAGCAGTGACGACGAGAGTCCGCCGGTGCAACCGGTAGACAGTAACGAGACTCTTATTGGGTCTGAGTACGGGTGAGACACATCGTTACCACATCTATTTCACTGTCGTTTCGCTCTTGGCAGAGCGGTCGTGGTCACGTAGAGGCGGCTATATTTGTGTTGGTGGCCGATACAGCTTTCCTCACGATCTCCCGCCATCTCTCTCTGTTTGTGGATTGTCTGGCGCAGTCTGACACTGGGATTCCCGTTGCCGATTTGACTTGATCAGTCCAGCGCATAGGTGATCTGCCTCGTGATCTGGTTCCCTCTACTTTCCCCTGAACGACCAGCCGCTCTATGGAGTTGTTATCACGACGGGAGACATGGCCAAAGTACTGCAGTATGCGCGTCTGTACTATAGTTGATAGACGCTTTGTGATGCCGAGTTCTCGGAGTATGGATGCGTTGGTGCGGAGCTCAGTCCACGATACACTAAGCATCTTCCTCCAGCACCACATCTCTAAAGCATCTATCTTCCCCTTTTCCAATTCACGTACTGTTACCACATCTAGACTTATCTAAAATAGCTAGCACTTTTACACGTTCACATTTTAAAACGGATCTAGATGCAGCGGGTATTTGTTATTTGATTACTCTGCGGAGGACACCGAAACCAACTAAGAGCAAAATAAAATAAGAGTTAGACTATGATTTAAGTAAACCCTGTGGTTGCAGAACGTACAAACATCACATACATACATAACATCACGCCTTTTATCCCCGAGGTTATGCCGAGGTACACATTACGCCACTAAAATGTAGCACCCACTTTTCACTATTTTTGTTATGAGTTCCATGTAAAAGGGGGTGAGCCTATTGCCATATACCGGGCACATTTTCAGACCCAGTGCTACTACTGAGGTTTATTTAAAAACCTAATAATACTTTGCCCGACCTAGGAATCGAACCTGAGACCCCTTGTCCGGCAGTCGCAGTAGTGACCACTCAGCTGACGAGGCAGTCATCAATGTTTCATTATCTTTTTTATTTCAACGGTTACTTGTAATACTTATGTCGGAATACTGAAACGCTACTCAATTTTAAGTCGCGCTTAAATATAGTTCTGTCACCACTAATTCTTTGTAAAATGACAGAGACGGCACGATATTTAAGCACGGCTTAAAATTGAGTAACGTTTCAGTATTCCGGCATTAGAAATGTATTTCGACCATTATAGCCGAGACTCCGGTCAATAATCGCAGTCAGTAGTATTAGTATAGTTTCTGTAGTTTTCTAACTATGTGTAACATTCGTTTCAGTTCACTAAATAATGCGCCCGAGGGGACGTCCTCTAAGAAGAAGTTCTTGCGCATGGTCGACAAGATAGCCACCAACAAATACTTCCAACAGGTATGTGGACAGAATGATGTTATTTTTTAATGTTGTCTCACTGTCTGTACTGCCTTTTAAACTGTCAAAAACCGCGAGGACACCGGTGACCGCAACCTATTGTTCTTTAACTGTGTCTATAATGACGGTACTTAAAGGGTTAATTGACAAAAAAGGTTAGGTTGTATCCTTTCCTTAGGTAGGCCTGCTGCCCACCGTACTTCAATTTTTTGAACCGTATGCGTAATACTCGTTCTGTTATACATTGTATGCACTGTGTGTGACCACCCAGGGCATTGCCTATCATCCCGTGAGACAAACAGTACTAATTCATAATCCGATCTAACATGACATTGCCAGTGATGTTTAATGTAACTAGTTAAAAACATTAAATATAGATTTTAAACCATTTTTTATTAAACTTAATTATCTGCAAGTGGGACCTTTTTACTCCGAACTACCCCAACACTACAACAGTTCGATCCATATTAATATATATATTTGATTGACTAGGTGACGGACTACAAGTACGTGAAACGTGCGATGGAAGGTCTGTCGAACACAGACATCAAGCTACACCTGGAGGTGCACGCCTTGGAGGGACGACTCGCCCTCAACCTGCCGCCGCCGCCGCATGATAGACTGTGGATCGGGTGAGATATTATAAGATCATTTTTAATTAAGAACTTGTTATATGTATACAAGCAAAACGTAAGCCTTTCAGAGGAATTAGTACGAATTAGTTTTACGATAAAATTTTTGGTTCATTGGAATCGGCCTATTAGAGCTCCAAACGTGGTATCGTTTCGATTGCTTTAAACTTAAAATACATAACATAACATCGCGCCTTTTTATCCTCGAAGTGGTAGGCAGAGGTGCACACAGAAGTAACACCCACTTTTCACTATTTATGTTATGAGTCCCATGTACTAATACGGGGTGAGCCTATTGCCATATACCGGGCACATTTTCATAAACTTAAAATAAACTCATATTAAAGCCTCAGTCCTCCTCAAAGAGCCATCAGACCACCACAGGTGGGGCCCAGTAGGGCTGTTCCCCGATACGGAGCCGCGGAAGACTTAACGGGTTACCGGGGCTCCGGCTCGAATAGCAGGAGTCGGAATGGGGATAGTGTTTAGTCAGTAATAGTAAGACACTCCCTCTCGCCTCACTCATGGCGGGTGAAGTCACTGATTTTTGCCCCTTGAAATAGAAAAGCCTTTCAGTCTTCGAAGAAATACACAATGGTGCACCTACTTAACAATGTAATACTCACTCTTTACTAGTCATGTTATGAGTCCCGTGTAATGGGGACTTTGAGATTGATGGTGTCAAGCGCAATTTTAGACTCTGAATTTTTCATATTGGTTGCATACATAAATGTACACTTTCGGCACAGACCCACTTTACGTACTAAGGCCTCTGAATATCCTACTTACTACTAATATTATATCTAAATGCGAAAGTTTGTATGTTTGTTATTCTTTCACGTCAATACGGCTGAAGGGATCGGGCTGTATTTTGGAACAGGGTTAAATTATGGTTTAGAACACATAGGCTACTTTGAATCCTACGGAATCCCTAAGCCACTGGCGCTAGTTCATAAATGTAACATTTTCGTCTAGGTTCCGTTCAAACCCGCAACTATTAGTGAAGGCCCGGCCGGCAGTCGGCGCCCGTACTCTCCGCTTCGCTCACATCACGAACTGGATCGAACAGAAACTCAGCAAGGAGTTCGAGAAGATTCTAGTTCTACCAAATATGGAGGACATCATCGTTGACGTTATGACTCCCACACCCGTGCAGTTCGAGTGAACTACGTACGTACAAATATAATTCTTATGTTCCATGTATAAAGATGAATTTTGAACTGAAGTTTTATTAGCAAATCTACAGATTTCCACGTTATGGTGGTGTTAGCTACTTGTACGACTTTAGACTTTATTACTATAGTGAAAGAGTTGATGTTCTATTTGACAGTTGAGGGTAGCTTGATGTGCTAATGTCTGTACACTGAATGTAATTATAAATTACGTTTAGTATGTAATATTATTTAAATATCTTATTAATGTGTGTCTAACAGACTCAACGGAGGTTTATTTTGAAAGAAATTGAATCTGTTTGAACAATATATCTGATTTCGCTCATTCAGGGTATATGTAAATTAAATTCTTATGCGTATTATTTGTTTAGACAGAAAATGTGTAATATTTAAACAATAAAAAGTATTATGTTTATGAAAAAAGCTAAATTGTTATTTACATCTTTCAAATGCAATATGTACATCGATTTTCCAATATTATGTTTAAATTAAAATTCGTTTGTTTAGCTACAAATGCTCGAAACGAATGCATATGGTATGTTAATTTTTAATATTTCAACTGAACTACAGTTTGTAGTCTGATTTATAAAGAAAAATTTCTCATTTATTAATGTTCTTGGTTAACTTTATAAGTTATAATTGGGTTTAATAATTAAATGGTGTTCCTTTTAATTTAAAGAGTCGCGGTTATGAATAAAATAATAATTATAATGTAATATCGTCTAAATTAAAATTTGCAAAAATATACAAATCTTTATTATAGTATAAAAATAAACAAATACTATTCAATATTCATGCTAATAAAAATGTTACAAAAATGTCTTGCCTTCATATAAATTCAATATGTCTATACAAAATCTGTACTGGAACCATGAAAAAAATATGATTGACATAGTCAAATATAAATTCTAAAATAAAAAAAACTAATATATGTACATAGTTATTGCATTTTGTCTTTCTAAGTTTATGCATACGGGGATTACCGTATTTTCTTTAAAAAATGTTTAAATACATTGCAAAAACAATAAAAGATTATAAGTAACTGTCATAAGACACACTTTTGCCTATTTAATTAATTGAAATATACAGTTTACGTGTAATTTCGAGATAACCTCTACTAATTTCAAGACACACCGGGACATGATTCACGATAACAATGTAAGTACGCGACGCAGGAAGATAAGTTAAAAAAGGTAATTTCGTAGAAGGACAAAATACCATAATGCTGAGCACTCGACCTAATAAATTGAACATACGTAAAATTACAAAACTACCACTTATATACGCAATGATTAGTATAACAAAAAAATATGAAAAATTAAATTTATTATAAAAAAAACACTATGATCGTCTAGTTTAAGACTTAACATTAACACTAAAATTAGAATTAGCATTTAAAGAGATAGATCTATTGTGAAATTTTCTTTTTCAAATGTTGACAAATTATTAATATTAATAATAATTATCCCTTTGTACAATACTTTATACACGTTAAACGTTAAAAATGTTAATAAAAAACATTGCCTAAACAAGGCGCCATGATATGTGCTAAACAACTTGTAGGAATTAATTTATTTCGCAATATATTAGTTTGGTTTTGAATAACATACCCCTTTCCGCATTTTCGTTGATTTCCCAGGCTTTTGGCTAATTCATTAAGGTAATTTATGCTAAAAAATGTATGTATCTAGGCACTATATTCGACCTTAAGTGTCACTAGTATCGCATGCCAAGAATTGTATTTTACATTTAAGAACATTTATTTATGTATATTATGTTGATTTTAATGTTTATGTCCGTCGCCTCTGTATTTGATTGTATTATTTATGCATTAACTGTGATGTAACGCTTAGTTAGATCTATTAATAAACATTATTTTATTAATATTCCAAATATTTTCGCACGGTATTTTCTGCTCTATATTACTACGTTTCAACATTTCCTCTATTGCGTTTGAGGAAGTAATGAGTTTATCATCATGTATCACCACTCGAACGAGCTTCCTCGCGTTACAAAATAAATATTTTCGACAATAATTCCGTCTTAACCTGTTATTTGTAGTTGCAATATCAAATTTTTATAAACGACAAGACTATGAGAAATTATAAAGAGTTGTATAACTATGAGAAATAAATTAATATTTTGAAAAATATTGACCTGAGCGATGTAATTACGTAGATGTTAGATCGTTAATATTTTTCTAGTAGTCAATAGACTTTCTAATGGTTTTTCTATATAGAAGTTTATCTCGAAAGTAATTGTTATCTACGTCTCGGTGACATTCTGTCAACATTCTTTTCTAAATTTGTCGCACAATTAATTCTTTAATTGGCTTGCACTTAGCATAATGTTTACTTTATGCAGTTAGTGTATAAAACTGATATATAGCATTTTCACTTGGCAAGTTAGTAGTTCCTGCAAAGATATGTGCCCGCTAAAATAAAATGAACTGAAATATTTTAGGTATTAATTTATTAAACTTTCCATATTCTTTTTTTCGCATTTTGGTGGGCAAATATCTGACATTGTAATTATATGAATGTGGCTAGGTACATCTAGGGGCGCGCAATACAAATGGAGATGGTTTGGAACTATGAAGGCTGAACGTACTTTGCTCATTGTGATGGCGAATGACAGTGGCGGTGTATGCTAAATTGTACGAATTTAATGTTTGTGAACGAGCGAGTGGGCTTCGGATCTAATTACCGAGTAAACGAAATATGTCTCCTATTACTCGGTAATTTGAATCCGTAACATTTAGTACTGCTTAGCATTAATTCACTTTTGTATTGCTACTATTATTATAAAATGTATTCACATGAAATGCCAAAAAAGCCGTTGTAATAATAAACACTTGGTTTCTACTTATTTTGCATAAATAAATGTAAAAATCTTATGAATGTTTGGATCAATATTGTTGCCTACATCCACTGTTGGATGGTTTGGACAAATTCTAAAATTAATATTAATATCGATGTTTTCTTAAATAGTGTATGTTGTAAGTTTTTGTTTACTGTGCCACAAGTAGACGCTCCCCGAACTATGTAGTACACGGAGTTATATTGTGAAGTATTTGTAATATACATATCAGGGGGCTTAGTACGAGTTCGTTTTACGTCTAACTAGATGGAAACGTTAGCGCGTTCTGATTGGCCTGCTCCAATGAACGAACCAATCAGAGGGTTAATCGCGGTAACGTTTCAATCTCATTGAACGTAATACAAATCCGTACTACGCCCTCAGTAAACGTTTTGTAAACTACGTACCTGTCTTTCCGTTTTGTATGGAGTCTCTAGCAATTCGATTCACATGGAAATAGTATTCAGTAGTTACGGCAAACGGGTTGTAGTTGAACATCTTTTAATTTTGTTTCGTCCATCGGTTGTTTATTCTGTAACCGATATAACAAAATAATAATATTGTAAAATAATATCTTATATTGCGTTACGCATATTAACGATCCGATCCATATTTTATTTTTATTTATTTAAAATAATTATATACCTATATTGTTTCGTTGTTATTTTTTATTTAAACTCGAATGTAAAAGATTATTTGTTTTGTTTTTTTTTATTATTTAAAGCTGCGATCACGTAGTGGTTGGTATGTTCACAAAGTGTACCAAATACGGATGAATGTCTATGTATATAGTCTATCAAATTATAAAGTGTTTATGTGATATTATATATAGTTAAGAGTTAAACCGTGCCGAGTAGTTTTTCTATGTGGTATCAGTTGTGATTTTTTCAATAAACGAATTGCTATATTCTATTGTATATTTTTTTATACTTACAACCTTGTTCCCTAATGGACTTTTAGAGAGAAATGATGTCTTCGGTTAAATCTCCGGAGTTGATTATTGTACCTACTTGGTGATTATTAACTATGAAGGTAATATCCGGTCGTGTTCCCTGTGATAAATACAGCAGCCATCCAAGTGCTTCTTGACATGGAATGTTATTCAAAATATCACGATCTTCTCCCTTCTTCAGCTTATCATTCGCATTGGCAATTGTCAATTGTTTTGTTGTACAATTGTTCATTTTAAACCTAGTAAGTATCTGTTAATGTATGTACATTACGGTAACTGGTAAGTATCTTTTCAATTTATTTGTATTACATTAATCAATCCATTTGAATTGATCAATACATATTTCATTTGATTTTCCATTTTGTGAAATTCTCAAACCAATGCAATATTTAGTTGGTCTTACATCCTTCATACGAAATCTTAGTTTTTATTTCTCTTTTAGTAAGGTTAGTTAAATATTAACTAACTAAAATTAGGGTTACTCACGTGAACATGCTGAGAAAAGCTATACTAGACTAGTAATACTTAGTACTAAGAAAAATACTTCCTACTACAGTACAGTAGGCTGCGTGACATCGCCCCCACTGGTTCGAAACTAGTAGCTTTTCTCAGTATATTCATGTGACTAACTCGCGATTTTTTCTAAGTCAAAGTCAAAGCATTTATTTCATTTAAACCATAATTTTCTACTTTTGAAACGGTAACAAACACAAAATAAATAATAGTCTGTCCGTCAGTGAAGCTAGGTGCTCATTCCAAAATATAGATCCGTATGGAGAAGAACGAGCAAGAAACTCCATTCGTTACTCTCCATTTCAAGTTGTAAATGAGAACAGCACAGATTCTAGTTCTACCCAGAACTTTTAAGAAAAGACTTGGATAAGATTAGCGTAGAATCAAGAGTTTTCATTAACTGCTGGAGTTGGGAGGGAAGTGGACACTATAATTTTTTCTTCTCTTCTTATAATATCATCTAGTTTATTTCGTTGCGAATATTTGTCTTGGTGGCCCACCAAGACAAATATTCAAGGCCTTGGGATGCGTCGGACTTCAGTGTTCCGGTGTCTTCGTGGTTGTATCTACTGTAGATCCTGGCTTACAGGAGTTGCAGCAGATTTGCGGTTGAGGCGGGCTATCCCAATTAAAAAAGAAACTGATGGAGTGACGAGGTCAAAAATAAAATAAGAAAGTAATTTTTGAACTATTTTATTCAACAGCTTTTTCTTGTATTACATAAAATAATATGTAGTTATGTATATTATAAACACTATGTATTGTTATATTCTCGTATATACAATAGGCATTTAACATAATCGTTGTAAACTATATCACATGTTGACAACTAAACTTAAAATGTTTGTACAAAATATATTACTAAACTATTCACATAGGCTGGTATTTATATTTGTCCGTTATAAAAGCTATATAAAAATATAGATAGGTCTCATTTATGGAAGCGCTAAAGAAGACATTTTTATTAACTATGTAGAATAATTTTCTCTATATACGGTTGATACACTTCAAGTTATCAAGTTTTGCAATAGATTTTCGACTTTATTTCAATGGTAAAAGTTTGAAAATCTATGACAGCTCGAGGTAGCTTGATATGCATTTTTCTTCAACTGACAATAGAATCTTTATAGATGTTATAAGTATATTTTAAAACAATTCCAGTTTGTCTTTCAAGGTGCTTTTAAAAAGGCAATATTTTTCTGAAATATGAAGCTGTAATGCTGGCCATAAGCGATAGTAAAATGTTTGAATGAATGTCACAATATTGCAAGTCAATGTGTACAATATTGCAAGTCAATGTGTACAATATTGCAAGTCAATGTGTACAATATTTCAAGTCAATGTGTACAATATTGCAAGTCAATGTGTGCATTATTGCAAGGCAATGTGTGCAATATTGTCGACTATAGAATCGTCCTCAAATATTTTAAAAATATTACCCGTTTCAAAGCACCTTTAATCAAAAAACAGAGTGGCACCAAGTCAGCATATTTATATTAAAAAAAATAAAAATAAATCTGTTCTGAATCACACTTAAACTGCAATATATTACGTTTATAATTACGGAACTTAATTAATATGGCTTTCTTAATCCCACTTAAACATAATATGTACACAGTTGAGATCGACCTTACATCTAACTGAAGATCTTATATATTTTGGCACTCTGGACCACATTCCCTTTAAAAATCTACAATACAACATTTACAGTAAATATAAACATTTGATACATAAATAAAGATTAGAATTTTTTGTACAATATTGCATTAGAACGCAAGCTGATTTTATGGCAAGCAGTTACATAATAAACTAACATCTATATAGGATTCGAACAAAACAATGCTTCACTGTTTCATTCGAGATATATCTAACAAACCAACAATTTACATCCAAGTCCATTAAAGCGACCAATCGCATCAAAGTCATCACTGATTTTAACCAATCACAACACTGGATTTCCCAACGACTAATGCTGTAGCAAGCAGTAAGCTGTGCCGTCAGCATTTCTTCTTTTGACGAGTTCCATCCAGTCTTCTATCCTAGGAGCACAGACTAGGGAGTACCTTCCCAATCGTCGTCTCGCCATGATGAGAAACTCTCCAGCGCCCGCAGACGCCCCGCACACAGATGAAACGTGCACGTGTGCGTGTAAGCTGCGCACTTTCCGCCTTCTATGGTTGCGGTGTGTAGTGCGCTCTATTGTGTTGTCTACGTCGTATCTGTAAAGAAAATATTAAATAAAATATTTGCTAAACGACGTAAATGATCATACGCATTTTTAAAGACATTGTGCCAGTTGAATGCCTCAGTTTTGCACCCGCGGAACTTTCGCATTAACGAATTATTCAACTTACTCAAGAACTAGTCTAGTAGTTTTTAAGATCATCGCGAAAAGACAGAAGTGGGGTCTTATAGCTAAGCTAGCATCTTATAAAGATGTAAATCTATGTCTATGTGTCCTTCACATCTTACTCCTCGGTGCCCAAATTACACGGACGAGAGATGTAACAAAGATTAATATCACTTATAACATTTTACTGCAGTCAACTTTATGAGCTTGCAGATGGACAACTGGTTCTAGATATTATCAAACAACAGTTTGTTGGGTTTTCCCTGAAACTATGCATGTATATGTAGGCAGTAGGTACATACATACAAAAGCTACTATCTGATTAATTTTGGTAAGTACATAATATGCTAAGACAGCCCAAGCGAACAACTCGTTAATACAAAGTGAATAATATATGGCATCTTATTTTAATAATAGCTAGAATTATCTAATGATAAAAACTTGTAAGTTTATTATTAGTTACCAAAAAGCAATACTTGCCCCCGACATTTGAGGTAAAAATAATTTAATACTAATACCTAGATAATTATTTAAAATGTCAAACCCAAAATTCAAGAACACAAATTAATTCACTTTAAGCTTATTTTAGTCTTTCAATTTACTTAAGACAAAATGAACAATTACTACCTATGTAACACCTAATATTTTTAAAACAAAACCCAGACGTGTACCTAACATTTCTTTATAACGAGCAAAACATTGACCATTGTCCATACACGATTTCGTAATCACCTAATGGATCATGTAAACGGTCACTCGCAATTATCTTCGCGGGAGATTGCAATTACAATCTATCTACTTTTTCAATGATTCACTAACAACGATATGGCGTGTTTGATCTTTGGCTAAATGACATTTTTTTAAGGGGGTTAAATCATCGAATGACTTCTCCCGCCTGGGTGAGGCGGAAGGGAGTGTCTCAGACTCTTACTGACTAAAAACCACGCCGTTTCTACTCCTGCCCTTTAAGCCGGAGCTCCGGCAACCCGTTAAGTCCTCCGCGGCACTAAATGACAATAGGCACATTGGGTACATTGACGCCATTTTTATGTAACTTCTAGACTATACTAATTTCAACATCAATAACCCGTGACAGGTTTTTGTTCTCTAATAAATATCTGATTTATTTCATTGCAGGAACCAAAACAGTTATTCATGTCCCTGGGACGCACCGGACTTCAGTGTTCTGGTGTTTTTATGGTTGTATCCACTGTATATCCTGGCTTATGGTACAGGAGCTGCAGCGGTTTTGAGAGGTTGTAGCGCATGTACCATAAAAAGTGGCCGTGGTAGTCCATTTCTTCGTTCGCTCAGAATTGTTCGCTCGATGGGCGGGTTAGAGATCGCAGCTTAAAATGTTTAAGAGAGCGGTCCGACCTTTGTCCAATGTGTGTTAATTACTTAACTAATTTTATCGAAAAAAAAACTCAAGTAAGTAAATCGTAGGAACATGTTATCATGTAAGGCTAATGCCAGAATACTGAAACGTTACTTAATTTTAAGTCAAATATCGTGCCATCTCTGTCATTTTACAAAGAATTTGTAGAGATAGAACTATACTTAAGCACGACCTAAAATTGAGTAGCGTTTCAGTATTCCGACATAAGGCTCCCTTAAACTGTCAAACACCAAGCGGTCACCGGTGACCGCGACCTATTGTTCTTTAATTGTGTCTATAAAACCGGTACTCGACGAGTTAATATAACTTTTAATGAATCCTTACCTATAATATTCATCGTCTTCCAAGTCAGGTTTGTCTTTGCTCTCTGCTTCAGAGGTGGCTCGGATGAGCTTAGTGACTCGTAGAGTGAGCTGCGTAGTGTCCAGGTCCTCACGGGGTTCACTCATCACGATCACTCCTCGCGATACTGAAATTAACATCATTATTAAAATACTGAATAACTGAACATATTACGACGACGTAGTCTGGTAAATGAGTAAACTACAAAACTAAGAATAATGATAGAAAATTTACTATATTTCCCTAAAAAAAACAATTGCCTATTAGATTCATTATTCATCAAGGTACTATGTGGCTTTTTAAACACAAAAAATTAAGTGGTTTTAACTTAAAATACCTAGAATAAAAATAACACCCAATGGCGTCATCAATGTCTACTAGACTTCATTTTTATTTCTTTACCTGGGTCATAAATTCAGTCAAAGAATAAAAGCTTTTTCATTGTATTTTATTATAATGTTAAAAATCGTTAGATACATTCGAGCATTATTACGGTATTATAAATATTTAAAAGACATGTTTCGCAACTTAATAAAACTCCAAACTTAAAAATTTCCTAGAAATAGTTCGCAATAATAATTTTGTAAGAATAAAGGATTTAATAATAAGTTCCTAACTAATGGAAACGTGCATTCCTTTTATCTAAAACTAAATTATCTACGTTGTGCATTAGATTGTTTTGTTTGATAGTCGAGTTTTGTGTTAATTATACTAATTGCTACGGCACAAACAAATTAGAAGTTGTAAAGTTTAATCACTGAGCTATCTTAAATGCGTGTTTTGAGAACACAATTGTCTCAGCGACGAATTTTCCTCCTCACTAAAGCTCAAATTTAAATGTTCAACGGTGGAGCTGTCACGGCGCCATTACTTCAACTTTATTATTACCTACACCACTTTAATCTGGCCATTTTTAATTTAATGTTTTAGTTTACATATCGATTTGTATTCCATATAAAAGTTATAAATTGGCCACAAGTGTCTTAATGGCACTTAAATGAGTCTGGTTGGAACCAATAGATCCCCCTATTTATCTTCGTGATGTCGGAACAGTTTTGAAAGTGTAGCACATTGTAGCTAGCTGAACAACTCGCCGGGTAAGTACTAGTCGCGACACCAGATTTATTGTTCAGATATTAATCACTGTGTCCTCATTGTTCGCGACGTTTTTTGTCCGTCCCATGAGTAAGCGCAAAATGTAGCCGTATTTTTTCTACGCGCTTTTGTTTGAGCAAGATAAGTGAATAGTCCAAGTCTTTGGTAAACGGTCATCAACCCGAGTCCCGACAGCCGATAATTACATAGAAGGTTCTCTAACGAGCCATCATGAGTCTCGGTACCGCGGTATGTTATCAAGGCAACAGTTAATTTAATTGTTAGACAGTGTTAATAGATACCTATCCGAAATATCTTAGCAGCTCTCCTTGATAGCTACAGTAAACTTAATAAATCTTACAAACAGAAACAATAGAATAATAATTTCATATTTCTTGACAATTAAACAATAGCTTGTCATTTTTATTTGACAAAAAAAGGCTTAACACGTACGGGGCCTTTGCCTATGCCCAAAAAAATATCTGGTTTTTATATGAGGAATGACAAACAAAAAATCAATGATACGTGTTGGAGGCGGGTAATAACGTGAGTGCGCGGGCGACGCGGCGGGACGCATGCGCTGCAGTGACATAACTCCTCAACTATTATAATTTATCAAACCAGAAAAAACTATTAACATTAACTCCCTACTGCGTCGCGTGCCCTACGCCCATACTAGTCTATCCGGTATACACTTGTCAAGCATCGTCGTTACGGACGTAAATTGAATCTAAGCAGCTCATCCCGGCTCGATCAGTACATATGCTAAAGCTTCCGTGAGTCATGACCAGTATGAAATGCAATCTAATCATTACAGGAGTCCGACTGACTGCTGGCGGCGGCGATACAAACGCAGAACGAAGCAATGCGAAAACTTTTTTCGGTTGCATTTACGTAAAAATATACAGGATTGTTGAAGATTTTAAAATAACGAGTCCTTTAGATAAACGGTCTCTTACTCTGTAAATAATTCGCGGTAGTTGTGCGCAGAAAAATGATAAAATTATATTCAAGTATAACAACGTTTAATATAATTTGAGGCGCGAGGAATCTCGATGATGGCGACAAATTACTGTGCGGTCGTCGGCGCGGGTTTATTAACATTCAGCGGGGCGAAGGCTCCTGAGTTTGCGATTACTTATTATTGCGGTGGAGGAATAGCTAGAGGAGTAATGAAAATACGTGTGAGGTCTTACCGAGGTCGCTGGTGCAGAACGCGAGCTCTAGTTCCGAATCTGAGCAAGGTCTGCAATCTGCAGTGTTTGGGTCGTAGTGTCTCCGGACTAGGGGCCGCGCTTCATACTTGAAGGTGGCTTCTCTCCTTTGAGGACCGTCTTCTGGTTCCGCTTCCACATATATCGCAGCACCTCCGTGTCTGCCTCGGAAGCACCGCAGTTCCCTTGGATCGCCATCATTCGGCGCATACAAAGGAACTAGTCTTCGCGCGCCTTCCACAAATAGACGCGCAGGGAACCGCTCAGCGACTTCTGAAAGACATGCATTACATTGTAGACAAGGGCAACCATAATTAAATCATTACGTTGAAGGAGTTGTATTCTGGTATTCAAAAAGGGTCCACACAACCGACAATTTACGCAGAGCGCTTGCCATCTGTGACCAGCTCTAACTCCATTAATTATGGGTGAGTCTTTATTTTATTTTGGACCAGTTAATTTTGTAAATATGAAATAATGGGCAAGGCAAAGAATTGTTAGACTGTACCAAGAAATATTGTTTAATGTTTACTAAAATTACCTGTATCATTAAGTCGCAGTGTATGGAATAGATCAGGCGGGTCTGGTCGCCTTATGACCCTGATGCAGATCTTGAAATCCTTCTCGTCGCCAGGTAGAGGAGGTCGTAAGATGAGGCGTAGGGCTCCTCGAGGGTACATCCATGAGATGGTGCCTTCTCTGCATCGCAGGTACACAGGCGTCACTCCACGCTCCGTCGTTGATGTCAGGCCACTAGAAACAACATTAAAGGTTAGTTTTCAGTCACACTTTTTATCTTCATCTAATCACCTAATCACTTAAATATTTGTTTATACATTAATTACTACATAGGCTACAGCTATAGTTCCAATAACAGCCTAGTAAGTTTATTTATACACGAGCCGAAAGCTGTCTTAATCATATTTGGACGATTTGATTGGAACGTGGCTACCGTGGTCATTAAACATTCCGTGTCCACTGCGACATTGCCGACCGGCTCCAATTATTCCACTCAATAAAATTATTAAGAACACTCAAATTGGCTACCGTTTCGAACCACTACATTTTATGAGCCAATCCTGTATCAATATAAAGACCTTATTGTTCCAAAATTATACGTCTCTGGCAATTTTTATAAGATTTATATTGTCGTCGTCAACAAATTCACATCAGTACTAAATATGGGGTTTAATTTCTTTTCAGCGAACACATTAAAGCTCAGCGTCAATTTCAAACTTGTTGTTCTAAACCGCAACACCATTACCGGTTCTGTTAAATTAGATCAACGCGCAAATCTAGATGAAAGTTTGAGCAGGGAGTGGTAGATTAAGGCACGCGATCGAGGTGTCATTTCTCGTCGGTATCTCGAAGTGCTCCCATAAACAAGCCCCGAGCGGACAATGATATCTGCGATCTGGCACGTGGGCCGCGATTCTGGAGTAGCACCCACGCCGCCGCCGGCCCACGGCGACTGAGCCACACGCCATAAACCTAAAATATACGAGTTATACGACACACCACACTATAAAAGATGCCACGTAAAGATTTTACATGGCCGACCAATAAAACCATAGCGTCCCTTTATGTTGGAGTGCATTGTCTGTGTGGCCCGACCGTTGTACGTGCATCTACATACGTGTCGTCTGTATGTCGACACTTTGTGTCTTGTAATATAGTTTCATTTATGTTCAAGGGGTGCACACTTGCCGTCAGTTGTCTTATAAGTTTTGTCAACAAAATATACTTATGGAAATCTAATTGATTAGCTGTCTTAAGTACAATATTTGGCTCAACCCTTCGTTTGTTGTCATCAAAGTATACTAGCACTTGTACTCATACAAATTCCCTATTTTCTTTGTTATTGAATGCTAAAAGTGTGAAGGGTCATTGCTCAGCTCACATCTCACTCCTACGCACAATATAAATGTATACCGTGTGTCCCAACGCGTACATTAATCAAGCGGCGCTCGATCTCGTCTGACAACGCATCAATTTTCTTTTATTGTGATAGGCGACGGCTATAGAGAATTCTGTCACGTCATATCCTACTTTCACGTCATCGGGAGACTTCCTTAATCCCCGCTAATGGCTGAACGTTGAAAAATATGTGTTGTAAATTATTAACTAATATGGAGTAACAAGTGGGAGCTCATGTGGCCCGCCCCTGCCGTCGAGACGAACACGTGAAAGGTACTGCACCCCTGTCTACGGGGGTGAACAACCTTTTAACACAAAAGGGTTTACTACCTGAACTTTAAACTTCAAGCTTTGATGTGATCTCTCCGTCTTGATTAATGCTATTTGATTTGTTAACAATTTGTGTTAATAGAGGTAAATGGTTAACTGTAATTAAAAACAATCATTAAGCTGTGTAGGACGTAGATGTATTTATAGTAACATTTAAATTGAAAGTTGTTTTACTTTGCGTTGTATTTGCGTCACTCGGACAGTGATTAAGCAGACATTTCGGTGTTTTATGTTTCAGGTTGTCCACGGTGCAGTTGATAGTATCTAGGGATATTTGTGTAGCGGACTATCTAAATTGCGCAAGCAATTGCTATGAGGGCTTGTAAAGCGGACTAAAAACGTCAAGTTGTCGAGCCCTGTCGCCTTCGTTATCGGCGTGCGCTAAGACAAACACACAAAAACAATATACATAAAAACCGCACAGAATTTTTTCTTGTTTCCAAACAGAGACACAAAAAATCTGTGCCGATGGGTGTTAACTGCAACGGCAGCGGCGTTTTATGCTTTTGAAACTACAGAACATAATCAAATGTATTTATTATGACAAGAATACATATTTGGAAAACATAAACCTGTTATGATTTTGAATGTAAACTCAGAAATGATAAAAATACGACGACGCTTTTTATTTACATTCGTATCAAAGTATGCAATCAATTTCAAGCTTTAATGGTTGTGGAAGTATGATTCATATTTCTACATATTACTATATACGTATATTATCTAAGTAGTATAAGTTATGGGTGCATAAAACAAAAACAGAGTAGCCGTGGTCCATTAACCAGCAAAGTGTACAAAAAGACGGTCGTCGGCAGATTCAAATTGAGGCAATCCCGGCCCATTACCAGGCAAATGACGCGGGCGCCGATACCGGCCTAAAAGCTGCTAATGTACCTTAACGTCACCCTACTGTATACCTATCTCTGTCACTCAATAAACCCTACATCTATCTATCTCCTTCATAAAAGTCCAAAGAATTACATCTAAAATGGAGTCACGCGCGCACTCCAATTAGTGTTTAAATTATTTTATTTTCTGGCACGAGTATGATGTGAACTTTGCAATATGAAATTTTATTCAATTTAAAAACAGTTGAAATGGCTTGTATCAATTAAGTTTGATTTGTAAATCAATTAATATTATTGATGTTAATAGTATGAAGGCATATTTTTCGATGGAGAACCGGTATTTTTGTAGTTTATGCCTTATGTGGGTACTCTTTCATATGCACGTGAGCTATGTTTAACAGCTTTTATTAGAAACTGTTCTCAAAGCAATTTTTATTATTCCACATAAAAGATTATTACTAAGCAATAAATTTTCAAATCTTAACATATTCGTGTTAATGTGCCAAATCAACTAGGAACAGAAATTACCATTCCATTATTGATTGAAAAAAAAGACCGAAAAAACATAAAAAAAATCTAAATCGGACTGGTTATGTAAATCGAAGTTTTGTCGTTACGTTCCTAATGAAATACCTATCTAAGCTTATTGTCTTTTCCGAATAAAATTGGCAATTTATTTTTGTAACGGTAAAATGATGGAAATAATATTTCTATACAATGTTTACGATGTTTTTGGTCGTATTTCTTGTATGGTTTTGTGTAGAAAGTTCGTTAGTGCACGATAACAGGTCCCATAAAGCGTTATCGTGACATTACAAGAGCCTCGACAGAATAATAAAATAAATGTGTGTTTTTCTACGAAGAGTTTTATTTATTCTCGCCCAAACCTGGCTCGAGATAACAATGTCGCGTGCGTTCAACCTCCGTCACTACTAGGGCTGTACACACGCCTTTCTCTGTCCGTCCGATTCTAACTAGATTAACACAAAGCATAAAAGCTTCTCTAACATAAAAAATACATTTTATAAGCAACTTAAATAGATGTGAGACATGACACATTCTACGTAGATACATAAAGATCAGAGTAAATCGAAACTAATCTAGAATTTACTTACCTATTTCTAGGTAGTATAATCTAAAATTATTTATAATATACAGGCGCGGCAACTTAATGTGCAGAAAAAATTTATTGCAAGGTAAATATGAAAGTGTTACAGTTGTTAGCAGCCCTGGTCGGACCACGCCTGCGCAGCCTGCTGCCCACGCGCCGACCATTGTCGTCCACACAGATACAAATTATGTATAATACAAAAACCAAGGCGAATTCCGTTATTGTATTATTTTCATTTAAAAGATTTATTATAAAAGAACAGTACCCAACCGCAATTCAAATCAAGTACAAAATTGCGATGGGGGAAAGTCTATAATTATGTCTTTCTCCGGGCCGCTATAAAACGTTAGCACCAAACTATACAAACATTTTATGAATGCAATGCCTATCAAAGGTCTATATTCGCTGCACTAACATAAAACAAAGTTTTACTGCTGGCTCTTACAATATGGTAATATGGCAGGCATTGTGTCGCTATCGAGTTGCTCTTGTCAAGTCCGCGCTCACACATACACCTTCACAGCGACAAAGATTTATAAGCTTTTAAGCTCACCCACACAACCGCAGTTAAATCTTATAAGAATTGAATGCTCTTGCGCACAAAGGCCTTAGGAGGGAGTAGTCGGAAGGTTTTTTAGTTTGTAGGTCATAGTCGAGCGTACGGCGATTGTAGGAACAGCTAAATAAGCAAAGCAGTTCCGTGATCCAGTTGTCTAACCGCATTGTGTCTTAACTACAAGGCGAATATGTTATTGTATTCAAATGATATACTGGCTTTCGTATCGGACAACTTTAAGTGGAAACGAGAAAAATAGATATCATAAATCATAAATGGAAATATGTTAAGTACTTTCTAAATTGTTGGTTGTTAATGAAGTTGATTTATATTTAACTAGATTTGGCCCGTGGCTTCTCGCGCGTCATTAAGCACCATATAGTAATCTCCAAAGTTGGTTATCAGGAAAATGATCTGAATCAGTTCAGCGGTTTAGGCGTGAATTAGAAATTGGCTCAACTGGTTTTGAGAATTAAGTCTCCTGTAATGTAGGTTACCTACATCGAAATATTTTTCACAACTTTAATGCAGAAGAAAATGTTTAACTGCCTCAATAATCGACTGTTGTATTACGAATGATTTATCCTCACGTAAGAACCTGTCATGGCTGTCATTGATCATCAGCAAGGTGACACAAGAATCCGTTTATGCTCGGAATCTCAATCATTGCAATTATAATTCTTTACCTGCCGATTGTCACACTGTCCACCTGTTGAAGCAGTTTACTGCCATTTCCTCTCCGCCATGCCATCCTGTGTCACCGTACTTTATTACTTGCGATGACTAATCACACATGGTAATATTATCAAAATAGGATATTACTGTGAGTGCCAAGACATGTACGGAGGATTTTCGTGAAACAATGGCTCGCTGGACAATGGTAGGGGCGGACGCCGCGAGCGACGACGCAGCACGTGCGTGCCATTGTATTCATATACGATACGCGCCCGTCGATATAGCGATACATTCGATACAATGCCCAGAGACCAGC